CTCAGTATATTTACTCAGAAGGGAAAATGTCATTACATAACTCATAGATTTCATGTATTGAGGTCCGCAAAAAGTAAACTTTAGTTTCTAAACAATTTTATAAGCGAGGAGGCATACTCTACTTTGTTTACCCGGGATTTAGACCCATTAATAATTCTTATTTACCTTGTCGTCCTTAACTTCAAAAACGCGGACTATTAAGTTCAGTAAGAACTGAAGTGTAAATGTTATTTAATTTATAGTTAGATGGTTGAATTTATTCTCATGTACACTAGTAATAAACAGTCAATTGTAATGGAATTGAATGAACACAGCGGGGATAAAATTACAACAGAGTTGGATTAGCACCAAAAATTAGACCCTTTCGTAATTAGACTGGATTATTATCAACACTAGCCCTAGGATCGCAAACAAATTCATCAAAGATTACATTGAACTGGTTTAATATACATAGTATTGAAATGAGTCCAAACTGTTCAGTGTTTATCAGTCAACACGTTCTAGGTATTTATACATCAGCGTGATGATGAAATATGATTAACAGATGAACACATAGACAGGAAGTCGAACAATGTAATGTTGGGAGGTTTCAAACACAAGGCACTTGAATTATTCAAAGAGCTCTACACAAACTAACCAACAAAGTTTAGTTGATGCACTAGTCGGTCATATACTTGCAGTGAACGAGAGCTAAGGTGGGGACAATCAATTTAGTTCAGTACAAAGCTACCGAGTTCTTTCATGGAATGTAAAAACCATATATTCAATACTTAATTTTCAAATCCTCCATCAATTGTCTCAAACGTCACCGTTCTTTCACTGCTATTACAACTACTGTAGTGACCTATTTTTGTCAACAGAACGTGATTGGTTCGACAAAAACATGTGTACACAAATAAGCCTAAAAGTGGCCGTGAATGTGAAAGGCAGTAGTTAATAAACTGAGCATAATTTAGGACAGTAAATCGTACAATAATAAATTATAAGTCAAAGTGAAGCTAATAATAAGAGGAATATAAATATGCATAATCTAACTATTGAATAGTTATATCATAAGAATATATAGATAATATTAGTCAATTAATGTCTCAGAAGTTACTCGTGATTTAATCTTCGCTCGGATATAACAGACTATTTTTTGCTATACCGTAGTTATTATCCGGTATATTAAGTAATTCATTCTTTTATTCCGTCAAGTAGACTGTATTGGTTGCTTTTTGCATACTGATGGTGTAGATTTATGTTACTTGTCCGATTTTTAACTAACCTAAGACTTTATGTTCGTATTTGTACGATCTAATGATTCCTATGCACTTATTTGTACGATGATTGCGAATTCCAAATATAATAAGTTCACTTGTGCTCACCCTGTTCTATTTGATGTAAATTGCACTAGTTGAGGAATTCCTAGTTAGTACAATAATTCGAATACTCCTAATCGTCACAATTGAGTCTAGTTGGGGCCTGTGATCGAACTGTTGGATATGCATTCAAATCCTAAAGCTTTCGAAGATTATATGGAAAGGTTTGAAATATGGTGTACGACCAGATAAGCTGTTAAGCATAATAAACTCGCGGTTTATTTCCTTACATTCATAGGAAAGTATGCCTATAGCCTATTTAAAACCTTGGCATTCCCAAGTAAGCCTATTTCACTTTACGACGCAACTCTGAAAGAACTACTATCAAATAATGTAAAATGTACTAATTTTGATTGCCATGTGTAGCTGTGGGATCAATTGATTGCAGGGATTGACATACGAAATCTGGAAAAACAGACAATAAAAATCCTGAAGTTTTTCTCCAACATCCTCGAACTGTGTGTATTTATTATGAAACAGTGTATGAAATTAACCTCCAGGACATCAAGATTTCTATTACATTACCTGGTTATTTTAATCCGATTAGGTCATACAAGCAGGCGTTTAATTAACGGTAACCTGCGTTCTCGTAAAAACATGGATAAAAATTGATTGAGTAGAAAAACAGGTTACAGAGGTGAGCACAGGTTTGGTGAATGCTTATTCTGTACAAAATTTCACTTACGCAATTTATACATCTTTCGTCACGTTAAATGCTCTAGGTGCAGTGAACTGGAAAACATCCAGCCGGTTCATGAAACTAATGTTCATTTCGCCATAAGTAATACTAGATTTTGTATTTCGGATTCTATTGATTTTGTTGAATAATAGTCATTTGCTATACATATTTACAATTTGAGTAATTCACACTCTGTTCAAAAGAGTTATGTTTGTCCAGATATGCTCCTCACGAATTTATTGTTGAAACTGACAATATCAAGTTTATCATTTCAGTTGGAAAGTCGAAGTCATTACATCACGATGCTGCGACTAAACCCAACAAAGTTTATATTCCAAGTAATACTGGTCACAAACTTCCTACTCTTAAGTGCTATAATTTGCTGACAATCAATTTTCAGTGTTATATTGTGAATTCCTCATCACAGGTTGCGTACAATCTGTCTTGTGTCTAGAAAATTTAAGAATGCCTCAAGGTCAGCTCCACTTCCTGATCACTGAAGACAATTCTAATGAACTGCTTGGTAACTACGGGATCGAAGTGCGAAGAGTTACACACGATTTTAAAGCTCTCTCATTCTGATGTGGAAGCAAGAAATTTCATGATCTTGAAAACAAACACCAGTTACTGCTTCGAAATTCAAATACCTGCTGAGGAGAGTAGATAGATTCTTTAGGTGAAAAACTAACAGGTCGTACGCAAAAGTACCAATAATGAAAATTGCTCGATCACAAAAATCTTTGTCAGAGGACTGATCTGCGAGAGGTCTGCTAAATATGTTTGATAAATCTATGGCCCATGTGCAAACCAGTCACAAAAACCGAATACGTTACAAGGACTTAAGTGAGTCCGATCCTATTCCCATTTTACATTCTGATACTAATGAGTACATTTTAAATCGTACAAAGACTATACCGATTACGCAGTCGGATAGACGCACAGGCTATGAAGAAGACGTATGAAATCTCGATTCCAATTGAAGCTGCATCGGTTGTGGGATTTGTAATAACTAATGATTTATTTGTGCTTGGCTGTCTGCTTGTTACGGATTCCACATATGACAGGTTAATTTGTGCTTACCTAGTTCTGCCTGCCCTAAATTGCAATATTTCGGAAATTCTTAGTCCATGAATTCGAATGTTTCTAACTATCGCAGTTTGACAGCCGGTTGATTAGTTTAGGATTGCGTCCGTAGGAAATTGCTTCTTACACTTATGTCATTGAGGAAGACCTATACATCGACTATTGTAATGCTCCGTGTTTCTATTTCCTTCAGGTTTCTCGGGTCTGTAAAATATACCTTTGAAGTTCTTTTTTAGAATGGTTAGTAACCCGACTCCGTAGTTCTCCAAACTATTTCAGTGTTTGCTTTAGACCTTATTTGGGAAGTCACACGTAGGTTAAATTTGTGTGGTGGTATTGGTTCTTAAACACACAATCCCTACATCCAAATACAAAAATTGGGAAGAATCGCATTTGACACACAACACTCACAGATGATCAGAGTTGGAGAACACGGGAACCCTAAATCAGAATGGCATCACTCGTTCATAAAGGTTTGATCACTACGTAGCTTCTACCTTTTCATAGTAAATATATAATTCTATCTTCAGCAGTAATGCGTTCCTCAGAGGCTACAAATTGCATATTCCTAACTATCGTGATGGGACAAGTCAGAATAGATTGATCTGACCTTAACGTAAAATCTTATAGATTAGCCATATCCTGACAAATGTACACATTTGGGATGAGATCTACTATATTAGTAGCAAGATAAATGCAACTGGTACCAACCAAGGCAACAAATCAAATATTAAAAGGCCTGACGTGATGAACATCTTCATGTTTCTGTTGAAACATATTCATAGAAGGGAAATTTTAAAGGTTCTACGACCAATAAACATATCTTATCCGGTTGACTTGGAATCTTCAAGCACGTAACCTGTGTTGTAAAAAAGACCGAGAGGGATATGCTTACAATGCTTCACCTAGAGCACAGTTCTTCCAAACCGTAGAGAACACAGATACATTTTTGTGACAAATCACACAAAAAATAATATACACTTGAGACGCCACGAAACAGTTCACACAGAATTCCGTTTCAAATTTACTGCTGTTTAGATCAATAAGTTATGAAACTCAATATCAGAAGTCAAAGTGATTTGACGCTCGACTGAACCTTCCAAAAGAACGCTTGAAAATCCCAATAGTTTAGTGGTTCACGAGTAGGATTACTCTGTTACTACTCAATCCTTTCCATTATTAGCTAAATTGTTCCCCCTTCCACTTCTAAGGCCAATATACAAAGAACCATAACTCTTCCGAACCATTAGGTTTATATGGAAATTCAGATACAGATCTTAAGGAATAGATGTTTTTTCTAATTCCACCATTGGAGTTGAAATTCGAATATGGTTACTTCAGTTGAGGTATATGTTTTCATTGTTAAATGTTTAAACCTTTAAACCAGATATAAAAAGCTGTGATGAAATGTTAACACGGATTTTCTTCCAATAGTATCTACTGAGAAAAAACGTAGCTGTTTGCACCAACTACTAAAATTTATATTTATGTGCACTTTTAAGCGCGCAGTTTATGGGTGATGTTTTTATTGGCTTTATTAGTTTCCGTAAAATTTTTATCCTCATTGTCTTTGGGTAAGTTGAAATATAGATATCGAACCGATTTTTTTCATCAGACTTCAGCACTTCGTTATCAATCTTGGATGGTGACTCATGGATTTTTACAAGTTCAAAAACTATTTATCTTGGTCGACCCTTAAAACTGCGGTGTTCAGCTACCAGGCCGGATAATATAACCATCAGCCGCAAGGAGTATGACAGAAATGTAACGACACAACTAGTAACAAAATTCGGGAGCGAAGTTCAGTGGGAAATCGGTGAAACTGGGTTCTCTGAATCTGGTGTTTATGAGTGTATCTCTAGGGGGATCTCAAATATACTCACAGTGTATATATATTCAAGTACGCCTAATTTATTTTGGTTTTGGTTTTGGTATGTCGAAATAGGCCTCTTGCAAAGCACAATTCGAATTTGTGGCGCATCCGTCTTTCGTAGTTACTTAAGAACAGACGTATATATTTTTATGCCTTAAAGAAATAGCTTTCCAAATTTGAAGGACCAGGTGAATATGATTTATTGGTGGTGATCCACAAATTGACGTCGGATTTCAAGTCTTTGGTTGTTGCGACATGGCCTTACGATATATTAACAATAGCCAACGAAGTAGCGTTCATCTAAGTAGTTTTCTGTCCTCGAACGTCAAGACAGAACATCAGGTGATTTTTAAGGCTGTGAGGATCCAGTCTTTTTGTGAATGCGCCAGCAAAATATGTTCGTAATACTTGCCATACTAGAGAATTTCAATGTTTCATGACTTCGTCCGAGAAATGAAACTGTGTGTGTAAGCAATCTGATCTTAAACTTTAAACAATCCAATGGTCTTCTCTCACATAATAAATCCTCCTTCCAAAGAACACACTGTATATCAACACCAATATCATCGGGCGCTCAACAGTAAAGGAATAACAAATCACCTCTTAACCTGTGGTAAGACGGTGTGAATTCGTTGAAGAGTCTCAGTCTGTCTTCCCAAAGCCAATCAAAAAAACTTTTTTGTTTCATTCCATTGCCAGTGAGTCCAGTTCTTGCGTATCTCCCTCATATATGAACAAGAAACTATACAATCTAATCCTATATTTTATGCGGGATCTCTTATACGTTAAATATACTATCTTGAACATATTTTCATATGTGGCAAAATTCCTTGCAGATTGACTTTTAAGATTCTATGATTCCGCTAGAACTCTGTTTGTCCACTCAAATAGACCTCACAATTCTTCCTGTAGTAGTGTCTCGTTAACTGCTGTAAGCATGTACCCTATTACTTTACTGTGATTTATAAACAATATGACGTGTGACCTCTTTATTTTCAGTAGGTCATTTACTCAAAGTGTAAGGGAAATATTCTTAGAATTAACTCTCGGGAAACCCCAATCTTCACAGCATCTCATGAGAATAGTGTGCCGTTTACTCTCACGCATTACCTTTTGCCACTGAAAAAGTCATTAATCCAGTCTTTGATTGCGCAGCTCATACCAAAACCGCTCAACTTTCTTGTAAGACCCATTCAAGAAACCCTATCATGGGTCTAATAAAATATTGTAATCTATTACTGCAGTACGAAATTCTCTCAAAATACGATTGGTTAAACATGAATAATCTGCGCTTAAACCATATTTCTCTTGAATAAAAGGCTTTTCCTTTTGACACAAAGTATGGTAACAATTCGACTAATCTTTCTGATTAACTTTACTGCACTACTATTAGGACTGACAGGAAGATAGTTATTATCAAATGTTTATTCTTAACTCTATAAACTATATTAATTATATGATCATTTTAATCTCTCAGTATCTTCAACAGACTCAGTGGAGTATCAAATGACATAACCGGTGTTTTTGTAACTATCTATCAGAGCTCCCATAATTTGGGGGTGGATATCACCAGGCTCACTGGACTTGTTTTGTTTGAGATGTTAGAGTAGTCTATTTTCATATTTTTCTCGGTAAGAAAAATATTCAAAGACAGTTTTCTAATGGTTAGTATTTTACTACCACCAGTAGGAAACACTTTATAGGAATACTTTGACAAAAATTACGATTTTTCAATCTTCACTTACTATCACTAGCGAGTCTTCCTGAAAAAGTGGTGGAACTTTATAAGTTCTTTGATTTATTCTATTGAAGTATAAAAACAACCTTCCGAGGCTGTTTTGGAAATCCTGGAATTGTATATGCTCAGAAAATAATCTAGGATTTACTGCCAATGCTTTGTATGCGCTCCCAGTCTTGCCGAAACTGAATCAAAGCTGTTTCAAGCAAATGTAGATGAATAGGTTCTAGGTTTTATTGTACATGTGGGAAGCTTTTCTGTCATCCATGGCGTAACTTTGACAGATCTACGTGTAGTGGTGCTGTGGATCTAGATCTAAATTTGTACTGACTGTCTTTGTAGGTAATGCTAGACCATACAGTGGACGTTTTATATCTATTTCTGACTTACCAGCACATTTACTTGAAAGCTTCATGATTACTTTTTAATAAAAGGTTCTGAAAGTGTTTTCTGTGCTTAACAAGCTGTTGAAATTGTCTATATATCCATGGAGTGTGATTCTATAGCCTACTTGCGATTGGCCATCGTTTAAAGGAGTTCACAACATTTCTAAATGTGGTTTTGAAATTACCCCACACTTCTTAGATCGTCTGTTTTATAATAACTAACCACCGAAGTATCTGCACGCCAAGTATTTGAATATTAGGAGATAAAGTCATGCTTTTTTATTTATTTGTCAGTGCAATCATAATTCTCTCGCCTTCCTAGTTCTAGCTGAAACCATCGGTTGTAAAAGTATACACACACCTGAACAATATTATTACACTTGTCAAATAACGTCTCCTTTTTTCAATTTTAGTTATTGGAACAAATGACGTCACTGTGCCAACAATAGAATATCTAGATAAAATAGGAAATTTTAACTTCACAAGAAGACAGCTGGATGATAATACATTTCTAGATATGGATCGCAATTGGATGTCGTGTACATGTGTTGTTGGGAGTGTAAAGTTATTGGATATTGTTACTGTCACTTGGAAAGGAGGTCTTTTTGGTGATTGGTCAGTTAACCATAGCCAAATAAACCAAGTTTATTCCCGGATAACAACAAGAGACCCGTCAATTAGAGCCATTAGAGCCCGTCTTCGACTTAATTTGCCGCGTAAGTTCAAATTCACTGGCAGAAAGGTCAGCATAAAAGCCCAAAAGAATGTTTTGTCATGTGGCAACTTATTATTAGATATAGGCTAGTCATCGTTTTATATTTTAGAGCGTCCAGTCAGTAACTAAACTCTACTTGTGTTAATTTTAGAGATAAGAATCAAGTACAGTTCAAATGCGTTAGCTGTTTGGACTTTGTTTTCAGTAAACAGATAATTCACTACTACTGCAGTAAACAAAAACACCAGTGGTGACAAACGAATATTTGACAATAACTTACAGAGCATCTCAATAAAATCTGAGAACCATAAAGTAAATCGTTAATTTGCAGAATATTAATCCATTGTCTCAAACTTGACTGTTTCCGTTGCAAAAATCAATCTATTGTCTCAAATTCCATTATTCATGCGTTTTCATATCAATTGCGTTCCGTTCCCGGTCTTTTCTCATCGATTTTCTACTGAAATACATTCTGTGCCTGACCACTGTCATATACTACTTGTGTGGATATAAGTAACCCACACCACACTAAGACAGGGAACACAGGTAGTTAGTTTTTCTATTTACCCTTACGTTTATTAAAACATGACAATAGGGCGCAGTATTTTACGAATTGTTAGAAGATCAGAGCTTAGATTGTATTACTTTGTAAACAACTTTTGACCCACTTCGAGTCATAAACGACATATTTTCGTCAAGTATTTGTATTTGGGCACACAATTTGCCCATACCAATACATGGTCTGGTTATATTTTACACATCGATTCAACAGGAATCGGTCGACATATGAAACTTACTGTAAATTAATTGGTAGGCAGTTTAGAGGATTTATGCAACATTAGTTCCAAACTAAAAATGTATTATTACTTCACAATCGAGTTTTACAATCATTAGAGTGGTAGAAAAGGTTCAAATATCAACTTAAGTATAATATAAACGTTAAAGAGTTGATGCTTTTGCGGCCTCTCAATCATACACCTTAAATCCTGATTCACGGATTTAACTGAACAACTTTACATAAATACCAGTTATCGAAAATCGTCTGAATTTCTTCACAAAGGGTACAGAGAAGACCTAAGTGCATTCAACAACAGCTCACTCTAACAGGACACATAAACTTAATTATTATGTATTTATACAGGCTGTATTAATTCGAAAACGAACTATTATGATCCCATTGCATGGTATTTTACATTGGACAAATCATCAGTCAACTAAATGTTACCTCGCATAGGTCATCTATGAAAGTTTACTTTGATTTAAGTTAGTTGGTAGGGAACCGTGAACTTAGATTTTGCTCCAATCAGCACTAGTCAGCAAGGCATATTTGCGGTCTTGTGGTGAGTGATTCTTTCTGGAGGTTTCTAGCCCGGATCACTCACCTTCGCAGCCCGAAAAGTAACCAATGAGTAATTCATAGTACAGCTAACCTGTGTGAGTGAAGTATTTATAGAGTTGTTTATTTAATTGTTTATCAAACTATCTGCAGTTGCATATATATTTATATACCTTCAGTAACTTTAAGCTAAATCAGTTTTATATTCAAGGAGCTTTAGAGTACCATCACTTTGGTAAAAGACATATTGTTTCTCAATTTAGTTAAACTGAAAAAAAATTAATTTTTTGATTGGCCAACTTTTAAACCCTTACTTAGTACTGGTTAAATTGATAACAATAATTAGTTTATCTTTGAAAGTTAATAGTAATAGTATTTCAAAAGTGTACTTCTTGGAAAATTAACAATATTTTTTTAATGTTTTTATTTATCAATATTTCAGTTCTTGATCAACGAATATTTGGTCAATATCAGTGTTTATTTAGTTTTTCAAAGTCAGAATATGCTGTAGCAACAGTTCATTTAAATGGTAATCATCATTGCATTGAGTTGATCACCATGTTCTTTTTCTTCAAATATAATTACATTTTAAAATTATATTATTAAGCAAATATATGTGAAATTTTTATACAATATCTGTGAATAGTTGTTTAAATCATTTATTTTTATATGATGAACTGAATTTTCAGTTTCATTATGTGTAAAAAGGTAAACACAACAGCTTAACTGAATATTTTTACAAATCCCTCATACTAACAATAATCACATGCTTATTAGTGATTAATTTTTGGAGGTAGTTCTTAAATTTTTAGTATAAACTGTAATGAAGGCTTTTTAAACAAAGATATATAGTGGCTAGCAGTAGAATTCAAAACGCGCGTTTCGTCCCATTTGGGACTCGTCAGCTGGATGTACCAGCATCCAAGAATTAATGTTCACTCCACGACTCGAACCCCAGGACAATCAGCTTCAAATGCCATCGCGTTCTCCACTTAGACAGTGAGTCCTGATAGCCACTTGATTATGTAACGGGGTGAAGTTTCAATTCACTTGGTGTTGTTTTACTTGAATCTTCCCATTATTATCAATTACAGTTCTAAATAACAATGGGAAGATACAAGTAAAACAACACCAAATGAATGTAATGAGTGCTGTTCAAATTTGTCTGATATGAGTGAGTTACCCTCCAATAATATTAGGAGATAATTAGTTAATATTGGAAATTGATTGAAGTTTTAAGTGTATACAATTTTCTTAGGATTTAGCCGTTTAAAGATTATGTTCTCACAGTGAGATCTAAGTGTCATAGATTCGGTCTCCAGCAGAGTCATGAGTGAGGATTTCTAAAGAATTCCTACACTAGGGTGAAACTTTTGCTTAGTACTTAGAGGTTTTCTGTGATTATTCAACTAAGATCAGTCTCTGATAAAACAATCTCCTTGAATTCCCTTTAGTAAGAATGATTTTTGTCTCACCCTGAATGGTTTGGAATGATGTAGTTGAACCTCCGATGCATTATTACTTGAAATAATACATGGTCCAGTTTCGGTTTTTTTTAATAATATATCAAAGAATAATGCTGAATCTTCGTTAAACTGTCTATCATTAGTATCGTTAAAATAAAAACAAAAAAGGGGAATATACTTTATTCTCAATTATTGAATTTTTTCACTAGCGATTGGTCTGCTATTCGATAACATTATTAGACCAAAGTAGACGTATCGGTCTTGTGCTCTAGTTATTAGCACTAACTATAGTCTGTGAATAATGTTGAATAATATTTTTGTGGTGAACAGTGATAGTAAATTTATTGGAACTAGGTAGGAGTGAAGCTGTTAAATTGAATCTAGCTGGGACTTTGTATAACCACATTTAAAAATTTAAAGCAGTCAGTCCCTTTGATAAATTTCGATAGTGTAATAAGAAGACGGAGATTATCAGAACTATGTGATGATATATTAGCGCAATACATTTCGAACAATCTGATCACATATAATATACTTGTTAAGAACATTTATACATAAAAATAAAAGGTCAACTAGACTTGAAATGGAGGGTAAGAGGAGACAGGTCATAAAATTGATCTTTACTCGGCTTTTGTGGTGTTGTACAAAAATGTAAAAGGGCGTAAAGTAAGTTTTATTGAAGCCTTAGCCATACGAAAATTCATACCCCCTCTGTATATTCAAAAACAGTTTAGTCTCACCTTAAACCTACCATGGTAATATTAACTTATTATCCAGAGTGATGAGGTTTCAAGTTGTTTTCACATTACTTCTTTATTATCCTTGTCTCCTCTTATCCTCCATTTCTAGTCTAGTTGACCTTTTGTTTTTTTATATAAATGCTCTTAACAAGTATACGTGGGATCAGATTGTTCGAAATGTATTGCGCTAACTTATCATCACATAGTTCTGATAATCTTCGTTTTCTTATTACACTATCGAAACATTTAGAAATATTGCCACTGAATATTGGTATTTACAACAGTTTTATGTTTAAGTTACTCGTAGAGAATCAGTGATTATCTCTAAGTGGTAGCAAGATAACTTTTAAGTTTAAAATATAAATTGCCAATGAAAATTAAAGAATCAATAACTTGAATTTATAGTATTGGTCTGACACAGTTACACTGTATTCATTAACTAACACGGTTATAAAATAAGATCAAACTCTTCCTTTAAAGTTATATGAATGGAGAATTTGATTTAATATGAGTTACTTTCATTATGCACTGCAAATGTTCAGTTCACGTTTGATGGGGAATATTTTCGATAAGTTGATGATGTAGTTATGGATAGCCTTTTTGGGCCTCTCTTAGCTGATGTAAATATGTCATGTGTGGAAAATATGATGGGTGAGCTTATTAGCGGGGTGACTTTATATAGAAGATTTATGGATGATTTACTAATTATATGTGAAAAAGATTTTGAAGTCTCCCGGTTACTAGATAAATTCAATGGGGTTCAAAATGATATCGTGTTGACTTATGAAGCAGAAAATAATGGCCAGTTGGACGTTTTTAGACATAATTTTAAGTCGAAGGGAGGATTGTACTATAAGACGGTCAGTGCATAGGAAACCAACTTGAATAGGACAATACTTAAATTTCCATAGTTTATGTCCATCGCAATACAAGCGAGGCTCGATCAAGTGTCTCTTTAAGAGGACTCAAAGAATTTTCACTGCTGACACAGTTGGAAAAGATGAAAAGTTACTGACTGACACATTAATAGCAAATGGTTACCCACTAAAGTTTATTAATAGGTGCAAAAGTCAGTTAATGGTAAGACCTTTTGTTTATTCAATATGAGATACGCTTATTGACGATATTTTTATTAGAAGAACCATAATTCATAAATAATCATTTGACAGTAGCCAGATGGTTTCACTCTTTTCTCCTCTTACGATATACAACTTTTCCATGTATTTTTATTGTATGCTATACTCCTAATTGTTGTTTTTTAATTTTTTTTTAAATTTTAGTACCTCCCATTTTACGTCTGATTTATGATCCTCCACCGTTACCTCCGTCTAATTCATCTGGTCGTTATACGTGTATGAGTAGTCCATGTCAATTATCAGTTAATGAAAATAATTCAAATTGGACAAATGCTTGTGAAATTGTTGTAGCTTATCCACTAGTAAAACCTAAAAATTTTGCTTGGGCATGGACACAACCACAATGGGCAGGTTACATTATAAGACGAGTGCAAGAAGTGGGCAAAGCAAATGTACTTTCTGATTTTTCAATGTTATTAAACGATGGAGATACAGATGGATATGGACCATGGCAAGTACTAGAGCGTAGACGTAGATTAACTACTATTAATAATGAAGTGAAAAATTATGATCTAGCTAAATCTGGCCCCATTCTGTTTTGGTGTTGGGCTAAAAATGACATTGGAGAGACAACAACATGGTGGCCTGGTCCTGTTGAAAATTATAGATATTCAAGTAAGTATTCAGAAAAATGACGTAAATTATATTCTATGTAATACGTAATTTGTTTTAAACAATAATTATCATTTAAACAAACTATTCTCATAGATCTAATAACAACTAATAGTAGTTTATTAATTAAACGTTTCCAGCAATACATTCCTAATATACATATATTCATAGTATGTTAGATTTGATACTTAACAAATATGATGTTAGTTACTTCTATGTATTTCTCTAAAGTTAGAGCATGATTGGAAAAGAAACTGTTCCTACCTTATAATATAATAATTTTGTTTATATCATCACTGTGAGGAGAGAAAGCTGTTCTCATGTAGATTTAGACAAGTATCCAACATTGTTCTCTCAGTAAGCAGCATTTTAATTAAATCTATGTGAAGGAATACAATTGCTAACATGTACTACACCTTATTTACTAATAAGCATTTATAAGTAAGGGTATTTATAGATGAAAATTCAATCTGTATCCAATAAATAATGGTTATGTATATGTAATTGGTTTCCTCATCTGGGCTCTTTTAATACTAGTTTATAAATTTTAATGATGTTTAACGTTTCGTTCAAGATGATTTCAGTGTATTTTTTTTAAACGTTATATTCACAAATTGCAATGTAAGTTCATAAATTACTTATCACGAAAACAAGAAAAGTTATTTTTCCTTTAGACTAGATTGAGTTTAAAATTTTCTACACTAAGTTTGATGTGTAATTCCTGAGTAGTTTGTCGTAATAGAAAACTACTGAGTTGTATATCACAGTAAATTTATACTACATCGGTCAATCATAGAATTATTACCTTGGTATCTATATACCTAGTTGTGTAGCTACTATACTGGAGTACTGACAATTGTACATCCTTTATCGATATAGTAGTCAATTACAACATTTGATACTAAATAAAACTGAAGCCTGGGTAGCGATAGGTTTCCTAGTTTAGACAACATTAGAATGAGCCGATTATTGAAATACACTACTGGAGGGAGTTGATCAGCAAGACAGATGTAGATACATCTATGATTTGTTTATATTTGAATTCTGTTTGGAAACTAGTTTCTCCTAATTATTTCGGTCTCCTCGTGAGCTAGGTATACCATAGGGATTGTTTATCGTAACTAAATCAGAACATAGAATACAGCAGTTACATTGGCATTACTGTTTCAAAGCTTATATTTCTCTAAATTTCCCAAATTAAATAATCATCTTTGTATGAGAAGAATTGGCTTGCCAATCAAGGCAGCTACCTTAGATAGCCTAAAATCATTTGTTTAGAACATTTATGTTTGCAAAAGCCGTAGATAATATTACTTATCATTAATAAGCACTAATGGGTAGTAAAAAAATCATTACGAATATCTTAGATTGGTATTTACGTATATACGCCTAATCAAACGAGTGACTGTATTCACATGAACTGAACAAGCATTTACATAAGGATAAGATTAAGTATTGGTCAGACACTCTTAGTTTCAGTTATATGGCATTACTTTCAATTCAAAACCTAAATAGTTTAGACTACTTAACTAAACAATCTGAATCTTAATACTGACAATAATGGAATTCAGTAAAAGCAAACAAACAGGAAGATTATTATTGACTGCCCTTAATCCGAAAACATGAATTTTTCATAATTGTATAATCATAATACAGCAGATGATATCGAGTAAAGTTGTCCATTTTTCCCAAATTCCCTGGTACTGCCGAAAGTAAGGATAGTCCTCTTTTCCTCTCGCAATGCTCTCATATAACAAAGCGTATATAGTTACTGTCAGGGAATTTCTACTCATTTCCTTCTCGTGAAGTGTTATTTACGAAATCGAGAGGGTGGGAAGCGAATGTCCGGCGCTTAAACAGGGTTAGTGGATACCAGAAATCTACTTAAAGGATTTGGGGAACTCAACCAACAGTCCATATGGGCTCCAGGATCCTGATGGAACAAATGGTGCATGAACTTGTTCTTCTTCGCAGGTTATCATGCGACCATACCTCCTAGTGTTGCTTCACTGCTTTGTGGATTAGATTTGTGTTAGGATGATCCAGAAAAATTCTCGCAAACGACACGTAAGAATCAGGAAACCTTGAGAAGCATTTCATCCAATCAGCGTTCACTTGGAGTTTAGCCAGAAACATCAAGGATGTGAAATGTCACATGTAGAGGTTCTGATTGGATGATTGTTATAACGCTACTATGTTTAGTAGCATTCCAGAATCTTCGAGCAACCCAAGGACATTTAGAATATTATAAAAACAATCTGTTTTCTGTATTAAAACGAACCTTGAAGTAAATTTCTTTTCGCATACTTTGCACCTTCTCTCTCGTGTTCAGGTCTCTGTATAGTTCTAGCTTGGAGGTTTCAAGAATAGCTTGGGAACCGAGCATAGCGTTCAAAATCGCAAGACCTATCAATTTGTTGGTGCATAAGCATTATGAGCTGATCATATCGATAATGCTGTTTAATATAAACTTTAATAAAACTGGACGGTAATGAGCAGTAGAATTCAGAACATGTGTTTCGTCCCATTTGAAATTCGTCAACTAAATGTGTCCGGACCCTTGTTGATATTCATACTGGGACTCAAACCTACGTCCTTCCATTCTTGTTTATATATAATAGCAGTGAAAATTAGGTAGACTTCAAGAATATTATTCAAAAAATAATGTGAAAGCATAATTCAGAATGGATACTGGTTCTATAGATCTGTAGTGACCTACTTTTGTCTACAGAACGCGATTGGTTCAATGAAAACAATTATTATTATAACCAATTGTACCAGTGACTGTTTTACTGTGCTCGTTTGTTTAACTGTGCTAATGACAGCCATTATACTCACTTACTCTCCCGTTGACTTTGAACTTGTACAAATTTGGTTACGCTCAGTAACCACGCTTGTACTCCTTTGGCACGATCTCGGTATTCTTTCGATACCACGAGATCGCCAACAAATACATCTCGACTACAGCCATCATCTGTCTTCTGATGTTGACCTACGGGGATCTTATTGGTTAATTGGCACGTAGTCTTGTAGCGGTGTTCATAGTCAAGCTCAACTCGACACCACGCTACAGATCAAAAGGGAAGATAAAGAGTAAGTTCGTCTGCATCATTACGACCAATTATTACCCACTTATCACCCAAACGGTTCAATTATTAATCGCAGTTATCACGCGGACCCTAGCCATATAGTTCTCACCCACTAACATGTCATATCTTGTTTTGATTGTCCCTAGCTTTTATTCAACTTCTGTCACCATCGGTGGTGAGGTGTAGCCGTCTTCTAAAACAGTAAGTAAGGGTTTGTGGAGATTATTGAATTTCGTTGAAATCATGAACCGAACTAAGTCAAATCGCCAATGGAAACTTGAAAGCACTGAAAGGCCTTTTCGTTTTACTACGGGATTCTTCAGCAATGCCTAGTGCCTGAGAATTTCTTTCTGGCAAATTTTTGTTATTCGATAATAATATGTACTAATTGTAAATTAACATAATTTATTATTTCCTTTAGTTGATGATAATCAGTATTATTCAAAATTATTTTATTTTTAACAGTTTGGTCATCTGTTTGGTGGCCTTTACTTGGTGTTTCACTTGAATTATTAAGTTTAGTCATAGTATTTGCGTTTTTCCGTTACTGTCGTCGACAAAGAAATCGTTATGGACTAAATAATGATACACCAGAGACTGCAGTTTCGTTCGGTCGTTCACGTCTACTAGACATAGATGTAGATGGAGATCAAGTTGAAATGATGAAAGTAGTTAATCCTGCATCTATAAACACATCATCAACATCATCCAATTCATCACATAATTTACATACTCGCGGACCCATACCTTATATACGTTTATGCAATCAAAAAATTAATCATATGAAGGATAAACATACCGCTAATACTACTACTACTACTGCTACTACGGATAATCATGGCAATGATAACAATAATAATCATTATTTAACAAAAGCCAACATGAGTAATCAAGTGACCGGTGGTTATTCAAATCCTAATTTAATTCAAGACTCAATAGATGCTGAAGTTGATGCTATGGTGGTCAATGTACAAAAATTATCAAATGAACATGACTTAAATGCTGATGATGATTATTTTTGGGATTCTGATACTGGAAATAACGATGAAGATAAACGAATTAAAATAAGGAGTAATCATCAAACACTTGCTTAATGTTATAAATATATACTGTACGTGGAAGAAAAAGTAAGCTCCATTTAATTTTATTGATATTATGTATTTACAATAAAATTAATGGATTATTAATGAGAGTGAATCTAAGATGTATGTTTCATTCTATATGGGACGTGTTAGTCTGACGTACCTGCATTCTAGTGTTCACTTTGACATTTGAACTCAGTACCTTTTGATTCAAAACTTACAAACAAATGATTATATTGAGTAAATCCGAAAGAATACGGATATCCCAACAAAAGCTGATCAAAATTCGATCTTCATTATAAACGATGGGATAATTCAAATCTTTACTATTATTAATATGAATTTTACTAAAATACTTTGATTAACTTGGTTAATTAATTCATTTTCTATTCAAAAGTTTAGATAATGAGTCAATTGAAGCTAAACCACCATGGAAAACCTGGAAGCACTGAACGGCCGTTTCGTCCTATTTTAAGACTCTTTTCAACAGTGCTCATCAACGACCCCGTCTCGCGAGATTTTGAACAGTGCTTCCAGGTTTTCCATGGTGGTCCAGCTTCAATTGACTCATGATCTCAACTACTAAAATTACTATAATATTCACAAAAAACCACTTCTGATACTAATTTATTTTTACTTGAAATAATACGTTTGTAATATGAGTAGTAAAGAGTAATTAGAGGAAATTTAATGTTAAATTTTATCAGGGGTCAATAAGCAGTTAGATCAAATGAATATATAATATTTCATGTGATATACGAGTGTTCATTGCTTATCACAATAATTAAATAAGACTTTTTAAATTAATTTATGTTTGCATTGATGAAAGTAATTACTTGATAGTTGACATAAACTGATTTGTTGTTTGCCATATGAAATCAAATCAAATCTTTAATGTTGGGGCTGACTAATATGAAGTGTTAACTTGAATAAGTTTATAAGCGAAATGAGATTGTGAGATTTTTATGGAGTTTTGATCTCTGAGCTGAATGGTTTGGTTGTGGAGCTTTCATAGTTCTTCTGAACGACATCATCAACACAAACTTAAGGTAGAAGAATTCTATCTTCCACGGCCAAACCATTCAGCTCAGAGAACAAAACTCCATAAAAATCATCCATTTGAGCTACAAATCTTCTCTATCATCTCGAAATTTTGAGATAAATGATCAGAATAAATATGGTTAACTTGGGGTGAGAGAGCGAGAGAATAATGGAATAAAAATCAAAAATTACATAATATGTAGAATAATATGAATTAGGCCAGATGTAGTAGATAAGGATGGATGCTGAATAAATATCTCAAAAAGATTGCCAAGTGTAATAAATAATAATAATAATAATAATAATAAAAGTACTCTGCCTTAAATCTGGCCAATTTTATCGATTATTCATTTGGATATGAGTTAATTATAGAGTACCTGATGAGAAATTCATTGAAAAGAATATTCTTTGTTTATATTCATTGTTTTAATATAATGGGAATTTTTCAGCGGATAAACTGATTTAAAGAATGTCATTAGAAAAAAATATATTTGTAAAGAATTTAAATTTAATCTTTAAGAAATAAAATCTCATTCAATGTCATTGTATATAATGGTTATGTACTTACTTACTTACGCCTGTTACTTCTAATAGAGCATAGACCGCTAACCAGCATTCTTCATCCCACTCTATCCTGGGCCTTCTTTTCTATTTCCATCCAATTCTTGTTCATTTTTCTCATGTCTATCTCCATTTCACGGTGTAATGTGTCCTTTGGTCTTCCACTTTTCCTTTGCCCTTGAGGATTCCACGTGAAGCCTTGTTTTGTGACACAGTTGGGTGATTTCCTCAATGTGTGTCCCATCCACTTCCAGCGCTTCTTCTTCCTGATTTCTTCCTCCGCTTGGAACTGATTTGTTCTCTCCCATAGTAGGTTATTGCCAACCATTATATAACCATTGAATAATTTTTACTAGTAACTTGCTAAAAAACGCTAACCAGAAAAAAATTATCCAATGGTTATGTAATGGTTATTTTAATTTCAATTCTTTTGTTTTTGGACCAATCTATAGAACTTAATCAACACTAAATTACAGATTTAGGTGAAGCCTAAATTCTGGGGATATTTATTTATTTGTTGTTGTTGTTGTTGATGGTGATAAAGTTCAATAGTTGGTTTAGTCTCCAAGTTTAAACTTATTTTTCTATACAAAATTCATTGTATGTAGTAATTGATAGTTAATTATTTTATAGTTAATAGCATTTTGACCATTATAACTCTGAAATTACTGAACAAATGTTTCGTTCTGTTATGAGATTCTTGAATAGTGAGCATTCAGAAAATGCCCCGTATAGTAATTAACCATATGCTCACTGGTGACTAATTTCGAGAAGTAATTCTGAAGTTCTAATGAAAAGTGAAGTTAACTGTATCCAAACACATTAGCAGGTGGTTACGTGACATTATAAATTGATGGAAGTTGAACATGTAAACCATAGGATGCCAGGTTCAGTTATCTAAAGGTTAAGCGTTCAAGCGTGAAGGCAAAGATCTTAAGTTCTACTCTTAATGCTAAGATTGTCGATGGTCCCTACTAAGTAGTCCTACACTGTGGTAAACATCTGTTCATTATAAAATCGAAACACTTCCATAAATCTTGTAGAATGATTATAAGTATTCGTTAGCCTATAAATCTTTTCATTTTATTTATTATTTTCATATAATTAATTTGTTTTTGTTTTTTCACAATTCACTTATATTTTTACTTTTTGAAATTAATTCACCATTAGAATTCAGTAACCGTTTGGAATGAAAATAAATCCACTTAATCTAACAAAAGTATGATTTATCAATCGGAAATATCTACAACTGCATATCATGATCATGAACCTATCAAATTATATTTTCAATTGAAGAATTACTTCCTTTATTAAATATACTTTAACTCTATTTATATCTTAATGAAATATTATCTGTCCATTTAAATATAATACGTTTCCATTCAAATATTAATAAAATATATGTATCACAATAATAATAATAATAATAATAATAATAATTATTATTATTATTATTATTATAAAATTATGGGGGAAAATGAATATATATATACATATATAACAGATTAATATTGATGGGATTTGATCAGAAAATGAGGTTAGTTCAATTATGATTTTTTTAAAAATAAATAAACAGTTATTGTTTTAAATAATGTTTATTATTATTATTATTATTAATATTTCATTCATTATTGACATCATTTAATCTCTATGATTATTGCATTTATCTAAATGGATTAATGAATGTTTATCTGTATATTTAAACTTCTTCATTATAATTGTGCAATAAATAGAGAGAAATGTCTTAAATATTTCATTCCTTTAAAAAAATATACTTGAAGGCTTATGTTGTACATTATTATTACTGTTATTATTATTTTATACAGAATTATGTTTTTATATTTACAAATCATCTTGTTGTTATTCATTCAATGGAATAAGCTCTAATTTACAGTTGTCAACTGTAATAGTCCTCTGCATATTTTATTGTGATATTTAACATGACTATTATTATTATTATTATTAATTGTTCATTTGGCCTAATCATATCTCTTTACAATGATGTTGCTTTCTCTTTGATTCTTATTATTAATTGACTATTTATTGGTGTCTCTTTTTTTTCTTCTTCTTTCCATTCTCAAAGTTTTATCAAATTTTTACATTTTCAACTGGATTTCAATAATTCAAGTTTCATATGTATGTATATTTGTTTGTGTATATGTGTGTGTGTGTTTGTATTTTCTTTCTTTTCTGTTCAGATTATGCTATGAATGTCAATAAAACCATTGAAAGTGAATTCTTTTTTTGAAAAGTCCTAATTCTAAATTAATGCCTTGTTACATATTAATTATTAGTATATACTTAGGATATTAATTGATTTCTTGATGAATTATTTATGCAGGATAAAGTAAGTGAAATATTTGTTTACTTGGGTAAAATACCATTTTTTTGTTTATTTAAAGAACCGAATTTATTCCAAAAAAGAAATCGGTAGCAAGTGCTAATGCCTGTTTAAGTTGAAGAAATAACTTTTTTAACAAGCAATCAAGCTTTCAATAACAACCATTCAGATAAAGAATAAATTTAATTGAAATCATAAACCGGTCTAAGTTAGACCAGCATTAAAAATCTTGAGGAATTGAACTGTCGTTTTGTTCGAGTATGGGGCTACTCAGTAGTGTACATTCACGATTCCGTACATTGGAATCGAATACAGGACCTCCAGTATTGCGCATAAATGTTTAACCTCTAAACCACTAAGTCAGTGTTGATGTCTAATTGTAATCAATCCATGACGCTTCTTGATTGTTTTCAGTGGGTAACTGCCTCTACTGGTTACAGCTTCTGACTAAAACTCTGAATCCAGTCACTAGTGAGCACATGATAAATATCAGTATTTGGGTTATTGACATTGTTGAATTTCATTGAAATCACAAACTTATCTAAGTTAAAACAACACTGAAAACTTGTAAACACTTTTGAAGCTAGTTATTAACACCATTGGATAACGGCTCAGTGATAAATAAAATTAGGTAGTAGCTATTTAGGTAGATTAGAATTTAAGGACAAAACAACTGACGACTGAATAAAGCTCACTTTTTAATAAATAGATAGATTCACATATTATCAACTATTTCATTTTTTTCAACATTCAATAATAGGGGTACTGTTTGTTTTCTACATAGACTGAACGAATCTAAACTGTGGCCACTTACCATCTTAAAATCAAGTGGTTAGCTGAGGCCGATCATACACCTAGTCAAGGCTTAGTCAGAATGGGCAAATATATCTATACCCATGATTTGTGTACATTTTTCTCGGTGAGTCAACCAAAACTTCCTAGTTATTCTCAGTCTTCTCACTCATATAATAAGTTGATCAAACTTCTATGAACCATACATATCTCTGTATGAATCGGATGACTGAGGAATGCGATATAATTGTAAACATAGCGTTTATGTTTAAGTTTAATCCACATGGAAGTTTTATACATCTTTATATACTTTATTCTAGTAGAATTTTGATAGTACAAAACTTGGAACATTTTCAATTGGCTTATTAATATCGCTGTTTAATTGTTCTGAATACATATTTATTTAAGAATATCAATGCAGATAGAAATGCACTAAGTGTTCAAACATGTGAAATATATTTCTTGATTTCCATTGTATTACATTAATTGTGGTTCTGACTGACAAAGGAAATTTAGTTTCTTTAATTTTAAAGACGATATTTATTAAAGAATTAGGCTGACATTAAAACGACTAGATTTTTTTTTATCCCTAAAGATAAATTTTGAAAAAAAAAGAAGTAGTAATTGGTTTAAATGTCATCAAAATATGTACCTAAATATGTCTAGGTGCATACTTTTCATCACAAATATATAAAAATATAGAATGTTAAGAAACAAATTATCTCTCTATTTGTAACCATATTCGAACTTAAATCTAATTTAATGATAACATAATTACTAGAGCCTATTGGTGATTAGAAGATAATTACTGAACAAATTATTGACTTTTATATCTATTTTTTTAAAAATTATGAATATTGTCGAGTGACAGGTTTGAGGAGTACAGCGGTGGATGCTGTAAAAAATTGTTCATTAATGTATGAGCTGAAGTAACTAACAAATTTAAATCACAGTTTTTTTAATTTTATTTAAAGAATTATAGACGGTACAAAACAAGACAAGTGAAATACTTTTAAATGACTAAAAATTACTACAAAACTTAAATCTTTATTTTCTAATAACAAAAATAAATTGATGGTAATCTTAAACAATCACCTGAGCTCAACTTAACAGTCACTGAAAACGGCTGATATCAGTTAATAGGATAAATCAACATCAAATTATACAATAATCATTAAACAAATCATCCTTATAATTTTCATCTATTGACTTGTTTCAGTACAAGTTGTAACCATGTCTGGAGTGAGACAATTCACTGATAACATTAAGTCACAATTACTATAGATCGCGAAAGTAATATGACTCAGAATTTAAATCAGTAAACTCTTATTTGTTGACTAAATGGTATAATGTTTACCTAAAGTTCTTCTATTCAATTATACGAATGCAAAGTTGAAATCAACTATTTAATATTTTATAATTGAATTCATGAGATAATTGAAGCTAGACCGCTATGGAAAACGTATAAGCACTGGATGGCCGTTTCATTCTAGTATGGAACTCCTCAACATTGTTGGATGCCGGCCACCTCACTGGTCTAAAGGTTAAGCGTTCACACGCTAGACTGATAGATCCTGGGTAAGAATCTCGTGGGGTGAGATCGTGGATATGCATTGCTAAGGAATCGCATACTAGAACAAAACGGCTGTTCAGTGCTTTCAGGTTATCCATGGTGAACTAGCTTCAATTGATTCATGTATTCAACTTATAAAAATTACTAAAATCTCCACAAAACCCCTTTTGATATGTAATATTTATTAGTTTTTAAAGATTTCTAAACCATTGGAAATTTCTGACGAAAGCATTATTCAATTACATAATTTTTTTCTAAAATAAATTTATTTTAACGATATATTTACATGTTTATAAATTGTCTATTGTTACATTTTTCTTTTCCTTTTTCTTTTTTTCTTTTTTTATTAAGAATTAGATAATATGTATTTTATTGATTTTCATTTGTCCATTTAAATCGATGATACCAACCATAATATTTATCACCAGCTAAATGATTTGTATAAATAATATTATTTTCAGTTAAATTAAATACTGTTTTTATTATATTTAATATCATTAATTCAATATCATATTGTAACCATCTAGGTGTGTAACCATCACGTGATGAACGAGCTATAGTAATTATATTTGGTTGATATGGTATTGATAATAAAATTTGTGTAAAATGTATTGCTAATTTTAATAAATCATTTGATGTTGGTAAAAATTCATCTACTAATGATTGATTAGGTAAATTATGTCCTAAACATAAATGTATTTCTGGTATATATTGATAGGTTATTAATGAATTAGTTAAACAAACACCTATATATTTCAATATATGAATTTGTTTATATGTTATTGTATTATTTATAAATAATTCATTTAATTTTATTAAATATATTGTATAATTATGACAAAATATATCAGTTATTTGAAGAGTTTTATTGATTTTTTTTAAGATCATATTTAATTGATTATTATCGATTATTGATTTATGATCATTTTTTAAATGTATATTTTTATAAGTTTGTTCTAGTAACCAACGAAAAATTTGATCAATTTGTATTTCATTTATATAATTAATTGGACAAAATATTAATGAAATAATTGAATTAATTGTATGAATAAAATTTATATTTAAACCAGATTTTAATAAATTATTGGTAACAAGATGTACACCAAAAAAATCTTCATCAATATCAAGTATTAATGGTAAATAATGATCATGATGAGGATGATGATGATGATTTGGTTGATTTGCCTGGTGATAAGATGTGATTGGTTTAGAATTCATTACATTTAATAATTTATTTAATGACCAATATTTTGAATAACGTAGAATATTTGATGCTGTTAATGAATTTAATTCAATATAATGATATAACCATGTTTTAGGACATTTATTGGATGATAATATAAAATCATTTAAAGTATTATCTTGGTTACGAGTTTTACAATTATCTTCTTCTTCATCATCATTATTATCAGTATTATTATCAGTAGTATTAATATTAAGACACATACAAATTTGATTTGTATTATTAATTGTTGTTATACCTAAACTAGATGTATATGCATAACTTGTATTAAATGTCCAATATGGATATATAATATATACAGTTTGAATAAGATTTGTAATAATTGCACTCTGAAATTGAATAACAAAAAAGAAAGCAAACTATAAATCAATTCTTAAAAATGTGGTTTATTTGTTATCTAAAAATTATATTCAAATTTAATTATATTTATCAGTAATATTATATGGCTAAACAAAAGAATCACCAACACAATCACACTTCATAGAGAAACTCTGGAAGAGGTGGGGTCTTTCACGTATTTGGGAAGCATAGAGGTTAGAGGTATGCGGGCGGTTAGTATATTCCGGTTGCCCATACCGTGGAAGGGTTCTTCTGGAGGTACTTGAAAAGGAAATATTATAGGGCTAAAAATTAGAATCACTAATATAATCACATTTGATACAGAAACTCTGGAATATGTAGAAAATTTCAATTGCCTGGGCAGCATCATTAATGAACAAGGAGGATCTGTGCATACTTAAAGGCAAGGATTGGCAAATAAAAAACATCATCCATACAATCGAAGAATATATGGAACTTAAAACAACTGTCAACTAATATCAAAGTAACAGCTTACTGTGGGAGAGAACAAACCAGATTTCAGAAGAGGATGAAATTAGGAAAAGACATTGGAAGTGGATAGGATGCACATTGAGGAAATCATCAAACTGCTTCACGAGGCAAGCCTCAACTTGGAATCCTGAAGGGAAACAGAAAATAGGTAGGCCGAAGTACACACTACACTGGGAAATGGAAGCAGATAGCAGAATAGCAACTAGAAAGAGCCAGAAAGGATTGCTCAGGACAGAGTTCGTTGAAGAATGCTGGTCTGTGGCTTATGCTCCCCGACGAGGGGAAACGGGCGTAGCTAAGTAAACACTAAAATATTCGTAAACTGAGTCTTTTTATCTGGGCAAATGTGATAAATAGTCATACTTTTTATAACCTTAACTTCAGGTAATACAAACTGTCGTCAAAATTGCATACATAAGTTGGTAATAAGCTAAGAGCCAAATCAATATGCTTCATCACTCTATTAAGTCGATTACTGTTGGATTGAACCACAAAAATAGATACAGAGTAATTGATTGAAGTCAATGTGATATCATAACCATTCGTTTGTGACGTTGATTGATCTATTCCAGAATCGGTTATAATGAAGTTGATTCATTCATTCATTGTCTTTCCTTATATCTTGAGTTTGAGTATAATATAGTATTTTTTATGTTTTAGGAGCTCATTATTTCTTTTCAAATCACATCGTCTATGATATTAATTAATTACACTTTCACCAATACTGTTAATACTCCAAATACTTTTAAATTTGTCTTGATAATTCCATCTCGTTGTGGTGACCGTTGCAAATATGTCCCAGGATCTATGACTATTCGACAATGACAGTCAGAAAACATCAATAACTTCATCATAAAATGTATTTTGACATCGAAAACACAGCAATATATATATATATATATATATATATATATATATATATTCTCCGATACAACACAGCATGCAACAATTCAATCACATTTGATGGAGAAGATTTGGAAGATGTAAAAACCTTTACATATTTGGGCAGCATTATCGATGAACACGGTGGATCTGATGCAGATGTGAAGGCACGGATCGACAAATCAAGAACAGCATATTTACAATTGAACAACGTCTGGAACTCAAAACAATTGGCAACCAACACCAAAGTCAGAATTACCAATACATATGTGAAGACAGTTCTACTGTATGAGGCCGAAACCTGGAAAACTACGAAAGCAATCATCCAGAAGATACAAGTGTTTATTAACAGTTGTCTATGCAAAATACTTCAGATCCGTTGGCCGAACACTATTAGCAACAACTTACTGTGGGTGAGAACAAACTAGATCCCAGTGGATGAAGAAATCAGGAAGAAACGCTGGAAGTGGATAGGATGCACATTGAGGAAAGCACCCAACTGCATCACAAAACAAACCCTTACTTAGAATCTTCAAGACTAAAGGAAAAGTGGAAGACTAAAGAACACATTACACCGTGAAATGGAGATAGACATGAGAAAAATGAACAATAATTGAATAGAACTGGAAAGGAAGGCTCATGACAGAGTGTGTTGTAGAATGCTGGTCGGTGGCCTATGCTCGATTATGAGTAACAGGCGTAAGTATATATATTCCAAAACTGAAGTTATTTGAGAAATTTAACAATTAATTGTTCAACAGTGCTGAACTGGTAAGAGAAAATGAAATTCAGTATTAAAAAAAACACTGAGAAAAATCTAGAGACATGTATATAAAGAAATCTAGATCAAAAGATAAACAGCAACAATTCTATTACATGAATTGAAAACTTTTTACATAATCCATTGCAATTCAATCAAATTTTTGAAAGCTAAATGAACATACTTTACACGATCTACTGAAGAAATCGTTGTTTTTTTAAAAGTCAATAAAAAATGCATATGAATAGCTAAGAAACTGTCACTCAAATACATGATTAAACCAAACCTCATTTTAACATGAAGACTTTGCAATCAGAAAAGAGCAAATCCAACGTATATCCAGTTTCAGGCTTAGTATTTCTGTCTTCAGCAGCTTTTACCTTCTTAATATGAAGTTACTGCGCAGATAACATACTTCTGTGAAGATGACTAACTATGACAAAGAATTTAGTCATGAAAACTCCTAGATATATTAGATATTAATAATTCCAGATACGCTAGAAAAAATATTTGAAGCATAAGGAATTATAAAAAGATTTGTATTGTTGAGATGAACCTAGCGACCATTAATCAAAAACTTCATTATAAAGCATCTAAACCTATTAAATACAGAAAAAATACTTTATTCATTAGTCTAATCATGATCGTCCATCTCTGCAATAGATTGAGCAAGCACACATTTGTACTTATGCACTAATTCAAAATCAAGCGGTAGGTGAGATATTTGAAAAAACACAGGTTATTCGAGGAAGTCGATCATACATTAATTCAGGATCACAGTATACGTCATTTGTTTGTGTTGGGAGTTCAATCACATGTATACCTATGATATATGAGCATGACAATTGGGTTGGCAAATTAAATCTTCACATTCACTTTAATCTTTTTATTTACATAGTGGGCTTGATATACCACAGGAACTATATGATATCGAAGAACCGGACAGCAGAATTCAACAATATCACAAGTTGAACTATTCAAGATAGAGCTTTGAAGTTTCTGCATGAATTCAAAAATGTATCGCTCGTTAGTAATCGCTAGATAAACAACTTAATAATAAGATAACATTATAAGTCAATTAAAGCACTTTAGACTAATGCAAACAAGTCATTTCCGTTATCTTTAAATAAAAATACTGGTGAATGAATGAAGATGAAAACTCTGTGAATGTTTGGAGTCAGTACCTTTTCAGTGTGACAATAACCATCCATTCTTGAGTGTTAAACAAATGTACAGTATCAAGAATTTTTAAGGATTTTTCCGTGTATTTAATGGGTAAGTGTTGCACCTCGGAGTATAGTTTTCACTGGAGATTTCATTCCAATAATCTAAAGCTATCTGCTTGTCTTTAATGAACACTCCGCTCTAGCGTATCTCAGCTTGAGGGATCAAAAAATGCAGGTAAATCGAATGTTAGAACTTGAAATGAAATACTTGGTTAGCATTATGCTCACACATGGAGCACTCACCCAGTAAATGAACAGGAAATTTCCTGAAAATATCCGATACTGTATACTTATTGAACGGATTGAGAAATGGATGAGTTACAAATTTACAGAAACGTATCTTATCTCATTTCCTATCAGTGAAGTCTTAACTTCATTTACTTTTGTACTCATTGATTAGTAATAAAACATAAACTTCCCAATGTTATTTGAGGAGCCACTGAAATGATACAGTATGGAATAGTACTTTGGCTATAACTACCAGTGAAAATCATTTTCTATTAACTATGAATGGATTGATACTGAAATTAAAATCTAACATAATGATGGAAAAGAGACTGGTTATTCACAATAATCATTTTATTGTACAGAGGTTTCACAGTTGGTGATTTGGATGTCCCGGCTTTACAGGTGAACTTCAAATAAAATATTTGCAGGAACTAGCATTCTTACATGTCGACATGATATATCCTTACTTTTGGACGGATGAATTAATCTAATCTTCCCGTTCATTTAGTCATTTATATGTGACTTTGAGCATGTGTGTATAATCATACATGTGTTTTATGGTTCCTATATATGTTGAGTTATGTTTAATTAAAGTGACTTGATGCGTCGGCCTTCTCCATCTCTCATCATAACGTCTGTCTGAGTAAAAGAATGTCTGAAATAAATTAATTTAACGTAATTAGTATTTAACTTCTTATTACTTTGGTAGCGCAAACGGCGTTATTCTAAGTGGAATATACCAAATCAATCGGTTAATTTATGTTCGTGGCTCCTCAATCATTCTTTATGGAGTCATACGTGGGGTTGGGCACCAACATTAGCTGAAATGTTTGCATCAAACTAGTCAGTTTTAAAATGAATGAAATATCACATTCGTCAATTACTAATTCCCAATTAATTTCATGATGTATAGTTCTGCATAATTTTGCTCGAATTCTATTGATCATATTACGATTAACCCAGGTATCTAAGTAACTCGAAACTGCATTTTTTTGATATTTTATACCGATCTCCTACAACTAATACATTAAGATTTTACTTTAGGACAATTGTAATATATTCCCACAAGGAACCTGTGTATTATTGACTTGACATCAAACATTCAGTCAATACACAATGAAATTAAACAAAAACAATTCGCAGTAAGAAAAGTTTTAGATTAGAATTAATTTCTGGAAACTGACTTATCTTTTAGCCATTAATATCCCTATTTCATTTATCCCAAAAATCTAAATAAGTAAAGGGGGAAATTTGATTTATTACATTCTTGTTATATATATATATATATATATATATATATATATATATATATATATATATATATATATATATATATATATATATATATATATATATATATATATAGTAGAAGTGAAGTGATATGTACCTTTCTTTTGTGAAATCTACAACAACAATTCTATACACCTTCTACAGTTTGTAACGAGACTAGAAAAGAATGTTCGGGATATGATTTCTCGTTTGTTTGTTTGTTTTTTTAAGTAAAAAGAAAATGTGTTAATTTTCTGTTGTTTCATAACTTGTCTAAAGTGGAGGAGGAAAATGCTAGCTCAACCTCTATTACAATTAAACACATAAACAAACACATACAAACATTCACTTCTTAAGTGAATTTCACTAGTAAAACTGATTTCTTGTTTTCCTTATCTTAATATAGTCCTTAATGTAGTCGGAACTCGGTGACATTTAAACATTTATTGCTTCGAAAAATGTCAATACTGATAATTTTTTTATTACATTCTTCAGTATCTATGTGCCTAGAATTTATTTCATACGTATTAAAATAAAACGATATGTCATCTGATATTAGGTCGTGATTGGCCAATAAGAAGAAACGGACATATACGACTGCCAAACAATACAATACTGTCTTACACTATCATTAATTCTGGTCTATAATCTAGTGTAAGGTATTCTCAATATGTATATATAGTTGATCCAACTCCATTAGATCAAAATAAATTTCATTTGGTTCTGTCATAGTGAAGAGAAATTTTCCAGTAATCAAATCATATTTCAAAATGAAATGTAATTTATGTTTAGAATGAATCGCTGTTCAGACTGAAATCTCACTTAGATGTCGTTTCGATATCAGACGTCAAATTCTGATGGAAATTAGCTTGGTAAAGAAGATATTTTCAAACCAACTTAAGTAAAATTGACAAGCGTTATGACTTACGCCTGTAACTCTTCGTCAAGGAGCATAGGCCACCTGCCAGCACTCTCCATCTAACTCGGTCTTGGGCAATCCTTCCCAATTCTTTCCAGTTTCTATTCATCCTTCTCATGTCTACTTCCAATGCTCGACGCAGTGTGTTCTTCGGCCTCCCTATTTTCCGTTTCCCTTCAGGATTCCAAGTTGAGGCTTGCCTCGTGATGCAGTTTGATAATTTCCTCAATGTGTGTCATATCCACTTTCAATGTCTTTTCCTAATTTCCTTCTCATCTGAAACCTGGTTTGTTCTTTCCCACAATAGGTTGTTGCTGATGATATCAATTGAACGAATATTGAGTATCTTGCATAGACAACTGTTTATAAATACTTCTACCTTTTCGATGATAGTTGTGGTAGTTCTCGAAATTTCAGCTCCATATAGCGGAACTCACTGTCTTGATGTTCGTATTGCAGATTGTGACTTTGATATTGGTTGACAGATGTTTTGATTTCTATATCTTCTTGGATTGTATGAATGATGTTTTTGATTTGCCAATCCTTGCCTTTTACGTGTGCATCAGGTTCTCCTTGTTGATTGGTGATGTTTCCCAAATACGTGAAAGATTCCACCTCTTCCAGAGTTTCTCCATCAAGTATGATTAGTTTGGTGTTCTCCATGTTGTATTTGAGGATCTTTCTTCTTCCATCGTGTATGCTGAGGCCTATTGGTTCAAAGACTTCTGCTTCACTGGTTGTCTTTACCTGCATTTGCTTGTATGTATGAGATAGAAGAGCCAGTTCATCTGCCAAAGTCCGAATCGTCTAGTTGTGTGTAAACTGGCAATTGTTTTTCATGCTTCCCCTCATATATGAAGACCTTCATAACCCAGTCAACCAACAGAAGAAAGAGAAAGGTTGAGAGTAAGAGGTATTATCTGACTCCGGTTCTCACTTGGAATATGTCTGTCAGCTGTCCTCTATGTACCATTTTTCAGTGTAGTCTGTCGTGTGAATTCCGGATGATTTTGATGATTTTCCCAGGTACGCTATAGTGTTGAAGAAGTTTCCAAAATATTCTCCTATCCACGCTATCAAACTCTTTCTCCTAATCAAGGAAGTTGATATATAGTAACGAGTTCCATTCAATTAATTGTTCAGCGACGATTCGTAGTGTCGAGATTTGGTCTGTGCATGACCGATCCTCACAGAATCCAGCCTTTTGAGCTCATATCACATGAGAACTAGAAGCAACATAGATTGTTCGTGGATGAAATAAATACACTAGTGGTATAACGTTTGTTTAAATGCTAATGAGGATAAACGTTATACCGTTAGTGTATTTAATTCATCCACGAATAATCTATGTTACTTTTGGTTCTTATATGATATCTATTTATCATTGAGGCATGTCGAAACATGAAAGACATACTTTTGAGGGAAATGCTTCGAATATTATTAAGTTCTCAGCCAAATGGTTTAATGGCATAGCTTTCGTTATCGTAATGTAAAAAAAACCTAACACATTTGAGTAAAAATAAAGTGAATTCAGAGAAGAAAATTTGCTTTTCCACGAATTCATTTACCTAAGCTGTGCATTCGTATTTATATTTATATGGAAAATGTATGTCTATAGAAGGATAGAGAAGATTGCATCATAAATTGATTCGAGAATCTTATTATCAAACGAGATTACGCAATAATCAAGAGGTAAGAAAAGAATCTAAGGATAAAAATAATTTACGGGTCTAAATTGTGAAAGATAATTGTCCAATTGACAGATATGAAGAAAAATGAGAAACGTAAAGGTCACAATAATAACAACGGAATAATAATCATGAAAAATTATTAAAGAATAATAATAACTGATCACGGTTTAAAATTACAAAACACTAATTTAAAAAGAAAACACACAACAGAGGGGAATTAGGATCAGGGACGAATGAGAAGTTGGACGTATCGTCTTCGCACGCAGAGTTCGAGCTTGAATTGGCGAATCTTTGATTCGACATCCCCTCGATCCAGTTCCTTTTAAAAGACTCCTTCGGAGCTATGTGTTCAGAGTTGATTAGATACTGCTGTATTGAACTGGTAATTTTTTTTGCATTCTTTTAAAAGTCATTCCGAATAGTGTTCTGAGACGCACTTGGAAAGTGATCTTCTTATGCGGCCAATTTAACCTACTTCACATGAACAAGCAAACTTATAGATGCACATTGATATGGCCCAAAGCGGAAGTTTATCCATAACCCATCCATAGGCCGTCTTGAGAAAACAATTTAGAGCTTAGCTGAGTAAAAAATTTTATTCAGGGATTTCGGGAGCCGTCTATTCAAGTTTTCAGCAACCGTACCTCCTTTAAATTCGTTATTCATAAAAAGAGTTTTCTTTTGTACTTTGTTTAACTCTAGTGAATATCGATTTTATGTCGAATGTAAAGGCTCTCATGGCTACTGACATTCATCAGAAGTGTGTATCGTGAATGATAACTCAGGTGGGAAAACCAAAATTATGGTAAAATTTATACCATTAAATACATCATTTGCAAATCTTCTTTGAGTTTCATTAACATGTATATTAAATGTATATTAAAATAATATCAATTCACAAAAGTTTTAAAATAATAAACACTGAACTAAATAAAACAAAACTATTAAAATCTGATCCATAGAACAAGATCTCATTGTAAAAATTGATTTTTGTAAAAAATTTCATTGTTTAATTCATGATATTATTGAAAACTAGATAATATTAAACTTTAAAAGTGTCAATTAACAATATTATATTCAAAACACATTCAACAATTTATATGTATTGTGTCTACTTCTTGCATGATCTGATCTATTCATGTTGAAATTCATCTTTAAAATATATCATATATAGAATCATTAGATGTACAATAGAGTTCATGTTACCATTGATGGATTTGTCAAAGTATACCATAATTGAAATCATTCAAAGCTTTTTGAAGATCAAAGAAAATTTTGTTAACTTTTATAATATATCACTGTCATATATATCTTAAAGAAACTCTCTCTCTCTCTCTAATTCAATAAAACTGACTCATGATCTCAATAATTGCAATTACTAAAATCTCCACAAAAATCCCTTTCTGATAATAATTAACATATGTTCACTAGTGACTGGTATTATGAGGCATTGCCTGGAGTTCTAGTGATAAGCAGTGACCAGTGGAGTTCAACCGTGTCTGTTGTGAGATAGTAACTCACTGATGACAATGGTGGATGTGTCGCTCAATTTCGTGGATTAGTTGGAGTTAGACATTAAGACCGTTGAATGCCGGCCTAGTGGTCTAGTAGTTGAGTGCTCGCGCGCGAGAGCAGTAGGTCCTGGATTCGGATCCCGAGAGGCAGGGTCGTGGATGCGCGATGCTGGGGAGTCCCACAATAGGACGAACCGGCCGACAAGTGCTTCCAGGTTTTCCATGGTGGTCTAGCTTCAATTGACTCATGGTCTCAACAATTTGAATCAATAAAATAAATAGCTTTCTTGTACATACCTGAATAAATTCATCATTGGCTTGCATTAATGTTTTCATTTCATTATATGAATGAGGAAAATGACCAATTGGAAATTCATCTACTAATTCTGGATAATCCATATCACTATGAGCATCAATATGAAGCTAAAACAATAACAACAACAACAAAATCATTAAGATTGTTTATTTTCATTTATAATAGTTAATAAAATGAGCATATATATTTCTGACAGAAATCATACACCTATTACATTGAATGAGAACACAAGTGGGGACAATCGAATATATTTGAACACAAACTAAGGAACATCTTAGTAGAATCTAAGAACCATACAATAAATACTTCATTCGCAAAATGTCAGCCTTTCGTCTCAGACTTCATTGTTCCTTTGTTTCCACGTTAATCATTATTTGTTCTCATTCTCTTTTATTTGATCTTGTTAACCCTTCATATATATACTACTTATATCTGTCAATATCAGTAGCACACATCATAGCAATTTTCGAATAAATACTTATTTTTATTAAAGCTTTATGTAAATTGTTTATTTTCGTAGTTTATCTCCTGAAACTACCTTCATTTGAAAATGTCCAGTAATTTAATAATCTACTACAGATTTGTTAGATAAGCTTTGAATCACAATTTTTTTAATGTGATGAATGTTTAAATTAAGGAAATCGAGGAGGGATCCTTGTTCATTTTTGACATGACACTATACAAATATGACTGGGATATCTGTTGAGGCTCTACCAAGAGAGTTATATGTTGGAATTTAGGTTTTATTAGCTATACGATAAAATTAGAAATCTATAAGCACGCACAAAACTATCGATCATATTGTTGATTATTAGAGATAATGATTTTGAAGTTTGATGGTAGAATCCTATAAAATATTTAGTTTTGCACGTTTTAAATAAATAATGAAAAAAGGTAACACAACACATTCAAACATATCAAAGAAAATAAGCATCAAAGATTAAATGCCATTTTCTTCACCTTCTTCGTACTGTGGGAGAGAACAAACCAGATCCCAGTGGAGGAAGAAATCAAGAAGAAACGCTGGAAGTGTATAGGATGCACATTGAGGAAAGCACCCAACTGCATCACAAAAAAAGCTCTCACTTAGAATCTTCAATGCCTAAGGAGAAGAGGAAGACTAAAGAACACATTACACCGTGAAATGAAGATAGACATGAGAAAAATGAACAATAATTGAATAGAACTGGAAAGGAAGGCTCATGACTGAGTGTGTTGTAGAATGATGGTCGGCAGCCTATGCTTCGTTGCGAGTAACAAACGTTAGTAAGTAAGTCTTTTTCTTCTTCTCAACAAATGTCAGCAGATAAAAGGTGTGTATTTAAACTGCATTCTGAGAATCTTTGTTGAGTTCATTATATCATGGGGATTTTTCATTATCCTTCATCCGTATATGAGGAAATGACCCTATTTCATGCCATTATCTGTACCATTATGTATGTTATGTGTTTAAAAAAATGTTTTAATAAGTTCAAAGCTTTTATTTCACTGATTTAACCATAAGCGAATTGTTATAAATATGAACAAATCAGGTAGATTTTCAGAGTAATATATACTGATTAATTCTGTACATGGCGATATATGTAACGATCAATAGGCTACGGTAATATAGTAACAGTAGATATCTTTAGTAAATTAGTTATTCATCCATTCACGGTATTATGAATTTATTTGGCTAAGTTTTAAAAACTGGGTATGTTGTGAAATAGTAACTCACTAAAGACAATGGTGGATAGTGGCTCAATTTCGTGGGTTGGTTGAAGTTAGACATTAACACGTTTGAATTCCGGCTCAGCGGTCTAGAAATTGAGCGCTCACGCGTGAGACAAAGCGTCCTGAGTTCGAGTCTCGTGATTGGGATCGTGTATGCGAATTCTGAGGAGTCTTACACAAAGACGAAACGGTTATCTAATGCTTCTTGGCTTTCCATGATGGTCTAGCTTTAATTGACTCATGAACTCAAATTTTAAAGTAAATATTTAAAATCTTGTAAATATATCAAGAGATTTATAATCTATCTACTATTTTTTATATGCCGAATTCTAAACAAATTCATCATCATTACAGAACAGTTATGATAATTTTCAAGTTGATTTATTTCATTTTTTGAAAGATGTTTATGAACTCCAAAGAAAAAGTTTCAGTTAAGTTATAATCTATGAACGACATTTGAGCTAGACTAAGATGACTTTGAAAATATCAGTTAATTAGTAATTCACTAGGTATTAATTACTTGAACGCGATGGAATTTGAAGCAAATGGTACTGGGTTCGAGTCTCAGAGTGAACATTAACTCTGAAATGCAGGTACATTCAGCTGAAGAGTCCTAAACAGGACAAAACACGCATCCTGGCTTCCACACTACTAGCTACTATCCATCTTTGCTGATTATGTTATTCAGTATTTTTTAAAGTAAATCATAGTTACATAATTAGTCAGAGGTTATATTTATCAGCTTTTTATTCTACATACAAACAAAATCTAAACTTTCATTCAACAGAATACATATAAATATTAAATATTCTTAAATTCGCGGGGCAGGGTCGTGGATGTACACTGCTGAGGAGTCCCACAATAGGACAAAACGGTCGTCCAGTGCTTTCAGGTTTTTCATGGTGGTTTAGTGTCAATTGACTCATGATTTCAACTACTGACATTACTACAATTTCCGTAAAACCCCTTCTGATATCAAACAAATATGTCATCTTATAACAAAACTTATTGAAATTTTCATTAATTAGCCATAAATGATGCTTTTGTTTTAGAAAGTCAAATAGTTTAGTTAAATTCATGAGATTGTATATCTCAAAAATGAAGACAAGTTCATTATAGACTACATTATAGACTAACCTTAGCTAATGATTGAGATAGGTTCTGTTCAATATTGCATCAAAACCTAATAAATAAAGAGGACTGTAACTGAACGAGAGATAAAACTGCTTACAGTCACTTGAAGTAACTAGCTTTGTCCTTCTATCAGAAATGAATGTAGTTTGAAGATATTAAACAAGAAAAATTTCAGATTTTGCAATTCAAGATGGTCGGAAAATGAATATAATGTTGACCACAGTGATATGTTTAATTAAGTTTTAATGCCACTGTTGTGTTGTTTAGTTCCATGAAGTAGGAAATCATCACAATTGGGCACATTCTCTTTTATCTAATTTGCATCATGGAGTGACCTTAATTAGATAACCATTGAAAAACGGGGAATACAGAACAACTTTTTCGTCGTAGTATGGGACTTTTCAAGTATTGAAAGTGAGATTTGCACATCTGAAAGAGAAGGTTCAACCTATTAACTACAGATTCACTGTCAAATGGTTTACATTTGCGCTTTAAATCACTTCACGATATTTTGCAAGTATCTGTCATTGAGATTAGAGAATAACTGGCTAACATGTGATACTGTTGAACTCCACTAATCATGATTTCTCACTAGAATTGTTTGAACTTTCGCTAAAGATTAGTCGCTAACTAGCATCTTATTATTAATATTAATGTAATTCGACTAACTTCACAAACCCTTTACACTAAAGCCGATGAACAAATAAGTCGAAACGGTATTTTTTTGGTATTAACTATTGTTCATTCTGAAAACGGTTCTGATTATCACTTTTCCATTTTCTAACAATCTGAAAAAGATCTTTAGTGGATAAGTGGTGTAATGTTCAAAATCACAAGATTTTTAATCATGAAGACTTGCTTCAGTTATCTCTAGACTTCTGTTAGTGAATTCACAGAAGGTTGAGTTTCCATGTGTAAAGTGACCAATCCCAGCTTCATACAGACACCTAACATAGTAATGCCATTATAATTGAAATATCATAAATTTAGCTTTGAAAAATTGTTTGATTAATCGATAAATTACTGTGTATTAATGATCAACCCTCTCCCAGAGAGACATGATCACTTACTAGTTGAAAGCTTTTACCCACAATGTTAGTCAAACCAGTACTGTATTAGATGTCCAGTGTTAACATTGATTGAAGTCCAAGTTATATTGTCAATTTAAGGAGGTTGAGAAAAATAAATTATCGGATCCTGATTTGACTTCTAAAAGTCTATATGATAGCTCTGAGAAACGCGAGCCACCTGGAATTGATATGAAATCTGGTCTATAATTGGTAAATAGAACTTCAATTCTTTCGAATTTCAATAACCGAAATGCTCTCTCTAGTCAAAATATTTAGATAGAATATTTTGATTACTCATAAGTAAGTAAACGTATTTAACAGACAATTATAAATGCAATTTCAATAGTTGAGATTATGAGTCAATTAAAGCTAAACCACTATGGGAAACCTGGAAACACTGAACGGCCGTCTCGTCCTATTGCGGGACTCCTCAGCAATGTACATCTACAATCCCACCTCGCGAGATTCCAACACAGGGCCTATCCGTCTCGCGTGTGAAGGATTAATATCTAGACCACTGAGCCGGCATTCAACGGTCTTAATGTCTAACTCCAACTAATCCGCGAAATTGAGCGACACATCCACCATTGTCATCACTGAGTTACTATCTCACAACAGACCTAGTTGAACTCCACTGGTCACTGCTTATCACTAGAAATCCAGGAAATGCCTCATAATACCAGTCACTAGTAAACATATGTTGATTACTATCAGAATGGGGTTTTCATGGATGTTATAGTAATTTTAATAGTTGAGATCATGAGCCAATTGAAGTCAGACCACTATAGGAAACCTGGAATCATGATCTCAGTTATTAAAATTACTATAATATCCACAAAAACCTTTTTTGAAATTATAAATGTTGTTGAAATTGTATGAGCATTTTAAGATATCATTTTTTATTCTAGTTAAAATCAATCATTCATTTTAAGTATATGATGGAAAGATGTAATTTCTTTCTATATTAGATATTATTACGTTCGAAATTTGTTGGTGAGACTATAATTTATGAACAAAGCAATCACGTAAATGATATCAAGTCTCGGATTTCGGCGCGAAATCCACTCATTTTATTTGGATAAATAGAGTTTTGGCATTATAGCTATAATCAGTTGGTGATGAAAACCCGAAATCTAATTCCTAACCTTAACCATCAATTATAAATCATAATTTTAATTCCTTATACAGGTTTATAACCCTCATTTCGTCCTGGTTGTTAAGCGGACACTCTCAAGGTTTGTCTAGCGTCACTCAAATGTTGTCCATAGATTATAGTCTCACCAAATTGTTTATTATTACTTATTAAGAAATCAGACGAAATTGCAAACAAATTATCATATGCATATTGGTGAATAAATTATAATCAAAACCACACTGAAATGGTAGTGTATAAGAACGATTTAAAATAAGGACTTGACACACATGACATTGATCACCACCCAGTGATCAATCAATTGGGACCATTTAAAATAATTAAGATTATGAAATAACCTTAGATAGGCAAATGTTATATACTAGTAAGTAGTAGATAGCTGGTTTATCCTGTTATTATACTTTGCAGAAATGCAAGTCCATGGTATCCCTCAGGATTGATATTCGACATTTGGTAAGCTTGTGGAAATTATTCATTCGTTGCATTGCAAAGATTTACTTTTCCTTATCTCTACCTATACAACTTGCTTTCTATATTTTAGAATACTTTCTGATCCCTACTCACTTGCTTTTCTAACGGACTAAGTATACATATGATCTTACATCTTTAATGAATGACATCATCTAAGAGCGAATTGTCATCGTTGTATAAATTCCTTGTTTTACATTCGAAGAACAGGTTACTGGAATAAGCTGTTCAGCACAATTTATTCTAGTCACTATGTAGCGAACAAGAACACCAGTGGGAACAATAGACCACACTTGACAGGAAATTTCAGAACATGTTTGTAAAATCTAACAATCATAAAGTAAATGCTTAATTTGAAAAATGTCCATCAATTGTCTTAAAATGACTCACACTTCATTGTTCTTGTATTTTCATACAAATTTCATTCTGTTTCCATCCTTTACTGTTCGATCCTCTTGTCTCTCTGCTGCCAGACATTCTGTTCACTACTAAGAACATATACTGTATATGTCGATATAAGTAACACACACCACAATTACTCTGTTTTTTCCAAATTATTCACTTTCTACGAGTTGTAGTTCTTATCTGTACTAGTTTTCATCTGGTACTGTTCCCAATGTTCTCTTATTAATCTTCTCTAATATCATTAGTTTTAAAGTATTACACAGTGTCATGTTAGTCAGCTTATCTTTTTCATATTCAATAATGGATAAGTATGTTTTTATCGTTTTAAGGTACACTAAATAGTGACCGATAAACCCTTTTATAACTTTTATTTTAGGTTGACTGAAATTCACTGATAAAAGTGGAATTTGGTCACCAGTATGAATTACCCTATATTATGATTCATTATATTTAATGGTAAGTGGTGGTTGAACCGAATCAAGATGAAACTCTGAATCATTGAAACCCTGACACTCAATAATCAGTCAGTCAGCTACAACGTAGCACCAGGCACATATATGCATCGGTTCAATTTGCCATTCCTCATTAACACAACAAGATGAACACCGAATTCATAGAAGTAGTTAACTCAATGGTTGCATATAAGGACATGGTACAGGAAGAAAGAGTTAGTTGGTAGAAAGAGAAATACGAAGTGATTTTAATCTCATAGTCTAAAGGAAGACAGAAAGTGTATTTTAAGTTTTAGGGAAACTGATGCATTTTATGACTTTAAATCCCGTCACCCACGATCAGAGAGCTTAATTCTGACCTCACTACCTCCAACGATTGTAAACTAGTTCTAAAACTGATATAAAGCTTGTAGACTATAACATCCAACCAGCTGACAAGTTTCGTACTGAGTGAAGTGGAAGTCATTAACATGATTCGTCAAAACAGCAAGTCATAAATATCTTGAGAGATTTATTTTCTTCCTGTAATTTTCATACACGAAATTGGTGACAACGAAAACTGAGGCTCCTGATATCAGTAAAGGACGAGTCGTATTCTTCTACTCGACTGTCATACAGTGAAAGCTAGGATCTTCCTTACAAGTGACACGCAGAAACCTGTAATTAAGACTCACTGACCATCTTGAGACTGCGTAAAAGCCTTCTGTCAGCCTAACACATACAAAGGATTTACAACCACTAACAACAGGCTTTCTAGACTTATGAATAAAAAATTTACTTCCGAACAAACCCTCATTATTGATCACTGAGTGTGAAACTTCCTTTTGTACACAAATTTTATGTGAAAATCATTTGTATTTCGATGACTCTATTGTATTATGAAATGTCAGAAAGTCACATTCTCATAGGCTCCCAGGAGTTCCGCTTCTGTTAAAAATCCTACACCAACGAACATCTCTCTGAAAATGAAATTTGTTTCACTACTTGAAATAGACATGGATGACAACAAATTTAACTAAGACTGATATTGCCGACCCAAATTCACAACTTTTATAGGTCCGGTAATCGACATTTCACTGGTCAGTTAAAATGACGATTTTGACTAGTGGGAAAACGGTACATCTGATTAGTGAGAGACGGGGAGTTTCAAAATAAATTTCATACCCTTAAAAAATTATCGCCAATTAAAAAATGTTACTTGTGTGTATGTGATCAGATTGTCCGAAATGTATCGCTCTAATAATAGCATATAGTTCTCATAATCTTCATTTTCTTATTACACTATTCAAATTTTCATGATAAACAAAACTTATTCGTATAATCATATGAACAATTCATCGAAGAGATGTCTCAATCTCCTATTTATTCATTCCATGAAATGTTCTAATGTGAAGTATCACCCTTGTATAATTAAAAAGTGAAGATCGTCTACTTGAAAATCTGGGCCACCTGTTCCTGCCATTTAGATATTTCAACAAGTTATCTGTTTTCTTGTTTGTTTCAACAGATCATTATGTCAATTAATTGCACAATCTATTCAGGTGCATTTAAGAAAAGATTACGGCCTTTCACTATGAAAGTTAGGAAAGAGCACAATTAGAGACAGTGTGATTATTGACAATATACATAAAAAAGAATGAACATTATTCAGATGTTGATTCCTGAACTGCTAACATCTAACTGGCGATCACTTGATATTTATCGTCGGGATCGATCAAGAAATAAGAAACGGAAACTTGTTGAAATACTTTGTACTGAGAATTCTGTATTGTAACAAAAATATCATATTGAACAAAGCTACTACTACTACTACTACTAATAATAATAATAATAATAATAATCTAGTCGTTTGGATTCTATACAGATAATTATCATAGTAGTCTCTCAGAAATTAATACACACACTTACCAAAACAGCTTTCTTATTATTAAATGACTTGGCAGCAGTAAACCAATAAGGAATGACTATAAACATATCAAATAAACATAATTCAAATAAGTACAAATTAGGTCGGGTAAAACAAAGTAAAAAAAAGGACTGTTGAAAATACAAATTACATTGAAATAGGTTAACTACTATCAATTCTATTTTTGATGATGGTTAATATGCTATGAAAGATATTCAGAAGTATAATTGATCAACCTCTGTTATTATATACTACTGTTGAGTAACTTGTTGCAATATAACCAGTTTTTAATATATTTGATATCTGAATAACAATGGAAAAGATGGATGCATTTTTAATTCAATATTGATGTTCACATTGAAATTCGTACTTATTTATTTTTACTATAAACGCTCATACCTAATTGAATGTACTGATGAGTCCAAATAGATACTAACTTGTGTAAAGTATATAAATTTTATTTGTAAATGACGAAACACCTATCTTGAATTCCACTGCTATCCATAATCCACTTTTATTGAGAGGTAGTGACAAATAGCAATGATAAAACAATCTACTCAGAATACGGATGTGTAAACCACTAAATCTAATCTTTTCAAGTAAATAGTATTTGAAATAATTGTTTCGCATTGACTTACATGTAGTCCGCTAGATAAGCAAATCTTTTCTAGAATAATGAAACTATCAGATAATTACTAGTGTTTTACTATAACTTACAAGCACCAATGATATATTTATAATTAATTGATTACTGAGTAGTGGCGAATATCATTTCTTTCTTGGTTCGAAGCTAGTTCTATTGATGGAATCAAGTTTTGGCCACTAGTCAAAGTAACTCAACACCACGTGGACTATGTTGAGTTGTAATCTTATTGTGTTTGATAAAAGTTGATCGATAGAATTCTATCAGCTCTGTAAAAGACTTGAATTACATGACAGTGATTATCATTCAATGATCACTCTATTGTAAATGCAACTCAATCTTACAGAAAGTCAATCGCTATCCAAAAGCTCATTCCTAATCTTCCAGACTGTGAATCAGAGTGACATAGGATCGAATTCTCCAGTGAGCATCAGTTCCCTCAGATAAGCCTTTCTCTTGAGTGCCAAGTAGTATGAAACCTAGGTTTAAGGACTCTTATCGATTTCCTGCAACTATCAACCAACAGTCATACATGTTATATACATTTGAAGAAATCAATAGCCCATCAAATAACAACAAAACATTGACTAGATAAAGCTAACAAATCAAAAACACATACTATAAAACAAATCATATTGAAATCGTATAGTATGTAATGAAAATCCCTTTCAGAGTTGTGAAACGTGATATATTTAACATAAGATAGAATGTTAATACAGAATGATTTAATTTGACGTCAGCCAAAAGAAAAAAAGTTTTTGGCTGACATTTCTTGAAATATCCTGGTGTATAATTTATATGTTCGTTTCTACTTTCATTCATATATATATATATATATCATACACCTGCTACTCCTAATCGAGCATATGCCGCTGACCTGCATTCTACAACCCACTCTATCCTGGGCCTTCTTTTCTAGTTCCATCCAATTCTTGTTCATTTTTCTCATGTCTATCTCCATTTCACGGTGTAATGTGTTCTTTAGTCTTCCACTTTTCCTTTAGTCGTGAAGATTCTAAGTGAGGGCTTTTTCTGTGATGCAGTTGGATGCTTTCCTCAATGTGTGTCCTATCCACTTCCAGCGCTTCTTCCTGATTTCTTCATCCAATGGGATCTAGTTTGTTCTCAACCACAGTAAGTTGTTGCTAATAGTGTCTGGCCAACGGATCTGAAGTATTTTGCGTAGACAACTGCTAATAAACACTTGTATCTTCTGGATGACGGATTTCGTAGTTTTCCAGGTTTCAGCCTCATACATTAGAACTGTCTTGACATATGTATTGGAAATTCTGACTTTGGTGTTGGTTGACAATTGTTTTGAGTTCCAGATGTTGTTCAGTTGTAAATATGCTGTTCTTGATTTGTCTATCCATGCCTTCACATCTGCATCAGATCTACCGTGTTCATCGATGATGCTGCCCAAATATGTAAAGTTTTGTACATCTTCCAAATCTTCTCCATCAAATGTGATTCGATTGTTGCATGCTGTGTTGTATCGGAGAATATATATATATATATATATAACCATTATAATTATACTCTAAATATCTTAACTATACTTTACGTAATAAGTTAATTTAATACTTAGTTACTAAATTTACCGATACAATATAAGTAAGCTGATAATAGCAACTATTTGACTAATTTCAAAAGGTGAATCATTTCTTATGAAAACCATTCATGATGACATAATTCTTTAACATGAAATCAAATATAGTAATCTACTTAAAGTATTAATCGGTAGCCTATGCTTTTCCATAAGAGGTAACATGCTTACATTTGTAATATCCTCTAAACAAAATTCTTTTTACCAAACTTTAATAACAACGATATAAATCTTACCTTCATGATGTTCTTCCACAATATAAACATGTAAATTTGCTACTTGATTAAATGTTAAGAATTCTGAATTGTTTAATATATCATTATTCATTTGTATTGTTACATTCCAAGTGTTATATACATCATATTTATGTAGTAGCCATAGTAACACAAATGTATTTATTATACCAAAAATGATAATAATTCTATGAAATGACATGAATGAGATAAAAATCACTGATCGAACTGAAAAATAAAAATAAAATTGATTTAAATTAGTGTATTTGATAATATTATATTATTATCAGAAAGGGGAGGGAGCGGTTGTGGAGATTGTAATAATTTTTAATAGTTTAATTCATGAATCGATTAAAGCTAGATCACCATGAAAAACTTGGAAATATTGGACGGCCGTTTCGTTCTAGTACGGAATCCCTCAGCAATGTGCATACACGATCCCGCACGCGGGACTCAAACCAAGAAAGAACCTCCGGTCATGTGGGCGAACGCTTGATCACTGAGCCGATCAGCATCCAACGGTTTTGGTGTTTAACTACAACCAATCTACGATATTGCGTGACCATCTGCCATTGTCTTCAATGAGTAATTGCCTCCACAGCAGATACAGTTGAACTCCACTGTGTACGGCTTTTCACTAGAACTCTAGGAAATACCTCATGAAGCCAGCAATAATGAGCACATGGTGATCATTATCAAAAGAGGGTTTTTGTGGATATTGCAGCAATTCTTAATTGTTGGATTCATGAATTGATTAAAGCTAGACCACTCTGGAAAAAATTTATTCTATTACATGGTATAAATATCAGCAAAATATCTATGGATCTAGAATGAAAATGGTTGAGTTAATGTGAATTGTAATAAAACAGATTTTTATCAAAGCTATCGACCATGTTGCAATGTAGCCACTAGTCTAGGTGACTTGACATTGCGTGCACTATGTTGAAATAAAATGGTGGTTGGATGTAGTCGATCGGAAATAAGAAGAACCTGACACACATGACATTAATCACCACCCAGTGATCGATCAATTGTGATTACATCTGAGTCCTACAGGAGGTCGCTCGCGGCCCGGATAGCTTAGTGGTAACGTTTCCGACTGTGAAGCTGGGTGACACGAGATCTAATCCGTCAGGAAGCACCAGTTCTCTCAAAAAACAGCTGCACCTTGATAACAAAACCCGGGTCGAGGGTTTCCCATTGGATACCTCCAACCACCATCTTAAGGTTAATAATCGTTAGACATTAAAGCGGAAGAATATATTTATAAAATTTCAGAGAATGAATTGGAAGCAAATCCAACGTCTCAACTGGCAATCTCGTCCAAACTTTTCCAAGGAAATAACTGGTATACATCTCCAGTATAGTTAGACCATATGATTGATTAACACTTAATTTATTAGAAAATGTTAACCTGAATTAAACAAACTCATTAGCTTATATGTGTATGAAGAGAAAATAATGAATGACAACGAATTAAAAGTATTCACCCAATATTTTCCTTCTTGCTTTGTTTCAATAAAATAGTAGCTTGTCGAATATACTCAGTTGTTCATCAGTTACGCAAACTTATCATTCCCACTGTTTAATTTAAAAAAACCACCACTTAAATAACACGTGGAATCATTTCTGAAAAGAGGAACCAAAACTCATCAATGTAATACTAAATAACTCTCGTTAAATGCTAAGGGCAATATGTAAAACAATTTTAGTATACAAGGGAAAAACAAACAACTTGAATATAATTAGCCGCAACACCTACTACTACTCAAAGGGAATGATCAAGAAGGAGATCATGTTGCCAACTAGTATTTAGTAGTAATTGTCAGTCTTAGTTTATATGTTAAGATCTTCAGTAATCTGCACTCGTGATATGGCTATTCTCTTAGCAATAACAAGTGTCTAAGAAGTCAAGGACTATGCCATTGATTAGAAAGTACTAATGTTTGTCAACGCAATCATGATGTATATAACACTGAAAGTTACCTCACTGGTCCCGAATTTTAAGGGTTAGTCATTAGTTTTAATAATATTTTGTGTCATATGCAATCACTTTGTAATAGATTACATATAAATTTATTATGCAATTTATTGACGAATTACACTCAATCGGTCAGTCAGTAACAACGTAGAAATTCGTACATACGAGTCGCCATACCACATTAGCACACAGATACAATTGTCGATTCAAATCCTATAGTGGTAGAGTTAGTAAAAATATAAGCGGTAATCGGAATGATCAGGGTTTGAAGATGTTAGTCAAGGAGTATAATCCAGTGAAATAGATTTGGAAAGACAAAAAAGGGACATGAAGAATTCAGAGGATTAGAATTTGGGAGAACACAAAGAGTGGATGCACCTGCACCATTGCAAACGATTTTCAGCTATGTCATTCAGGGTCTCTTACAATCGGTTGCTATCATCTCGCTGTCCCTAACTAGGTAGTCTACACCTACTAACATGGTTCAGTCCACTTGTTAGTGACTTCATGGATTTGTGCCATGGTTTTAAGTCTGGCCGCCCTTAGCTTTCTTTCAACCTACTCCTACACTATGAAACATCGCTCGTCGGGACAGATTACACTGATTATTATCATACACAAAAAAGCTGATTATTAAGGTGTAAAGGGTTTGTCTATTAATAGAATGTTCTAAAAATTATGCCAATTTATAAACAATTAAAACGTTATAATGGTTTAGATGAACTTGTTTACATTATAATTAAATGTATACAATTGAATTATATTTTATATATTCTTAAATTAGTAAACTGTATAGAATGAATGAAACATTGAATCAATTTAATCTAATTTCTAGATATTGAATTTATAATTTTTGTCAGAAGGGGTTTTGTGGAGATTTTTGGTAATTTCAATAGTTGAAATCATCAGTCACTTGAAGCTAGACGATCATGAAAAACCTGGAAGCACTGGACGACCGATTCGTCTTAGTATGGGACTCCTCAACAGTGTGCATCCACGAATCCGACCCCCTCCGAGAGATTCGAACCCAGGACCTATCAGTCTAAATCAATAAGAGTAATCAAATGCTTCAAAGTTTAAAATGTTAATCAAGTTGTATTTCATATAAATTATATCAAAATTTTAAATGTCATTTTGTTTAATATGAATAGTATAGTTAAAAAAAAGAAAAAATGATTATGAAATCATGAATATTTTTCAAGTTAACAAGTAGGGATGGATGGTGGTTAGTGGTGGAATGAAGGATGCGTGTTTTGTTCTATTTGAAACTCATCAGCTGGATGTATCTACATCTCAGAGTTGATATTCACTCTGGGATTCGAACCCAATATTATGCGCTTTAAACGCCATCGTGTTATCCACTCAGTTAGTGAGTTCTTATAGCCACTAGCTTGTGTAATATGGTAAAGTTTAAATTCATTTTGTATTGTTTTATTTGAATCTTCCAATTGATGTTATCTAGTCATGATTGTTAGAACGTACAGTATACGAAGTTATTCCGAATATCGACCACCACGTTAACTTTTATAGTTTACATGATAAATTGTCATTAGCTATGAATGTTATATCCGAACGAAGAATAAATGAATGCTAACTGATAAGAATTGTTTGTGGATTATTATTATTATTACATATATTTAAAGCAATTAGTCCCTTTGATAAATTTCGATAGTGTAATAATAATACGAAAATTATCGGAATTATGTGATGATATATTAGAGCAATGCATTTCGAACAATCTGATATAATGGGGGAAGAGGAGACAAGGATAATAATAAGAGTGATAATAATGTAAACACACTTTGAAACCTAATCACTCTGGATAAACTTTTTTTGAATACACAAATGGGGTTTGAATTTTCGTATGGTTAAGGCTTCAATAAACCTTGGTATACGCCCTTTTACACTTTTGCACAACACCACAAAAGCCGAATTAAGATCAATCTTATGGCCTGTTTCGATTATATGTTTAGCAATAGAGGATGATGGATATTTATCCTCTGCTCTTATTGGGTCACTTGATTGTATTTTCATTTAGTAACTAGATTATGTATGTATTTATTATTTGTTATCATAGGCTTTGATTTGACCTATTGGTTGTTGTTGTACGATTTACCATTCTCAGTTTATTTTAAAATTATTAGTTACAATTTCTTGTGCACATAAACATTTTGGTTTGATCTTGTATAAATATTATTTTTCATTTTATGGTGTGATGCGATCTGGTCTGCTTGCATATAAACTACGTATGTCTGAAATAGACGACTAATATTGCGCAGGCTGATATTTGTGTTTCTGTGCTAAGTGGGCTGGTTTAGGCGAGAAGTTACTATACAGAAGACCAATAAAGAATCAGAGTTGACTCAAGGCTATTAAAGCTGTTTGATGCATCGTTGGTTCAGCACAGGGACAGGCTCATAGAAGTCGGTATTCTGATTGGAGATATTGCCACGCAATAATTGACAGGGGAATAAGCTATAACGATACCGCTATCGAAAACTAGAAAGCAATGTATAGATTTTAGTCCGTATAAGATTCCTCACCATTAAGTATCTACGATCCCATTAGAGACCGAATCTATGGTATTCAGGTCTGGCAGCAGGTGATTAACCTTTGAACCACTAAATCAGTATCCAGTGGTTCACAGTGTACAACTTCAATCTATTTGTTACATTATGCAGTCGTCTAACTTAGTTGAGTTCCTGACGTAAATTATGAAGCTGAATAATCTCTATAAATCTCTCACACTGTTTTTTTCAAGGCACTTGTGCATGTATTTATTGAGGTGTCATTTCACTTTAAGAAAATATGATTTAGATATTCTTCCAATGATGTAAACTTTGCTGCTAAGACCGAATCTATATTAAAGTTTGGTTGAATTTTCGTCATACAATTATGATATCAACAAGCTTTCGGCTGTAAACCTATTTCATCAGTATATTTAATTACAATTTAGATAAAAGACAAATGATTTCTGAAAGCTGAAATTTACCGGGAAATATTTTCCTAATTATACATGTTGAAATGAGCATTTGAATTTTTGTCTCATTCTAAAGCTGTCATTCTATGTCATCTCGCAATGTTTAACCACCTAAATACTCCTATTACTCTGAATTAAACATCGTAAAATCGTGTTTCACTTGTAGGAGATCATAGAAATGTATATTTCAGCAAACTATAAGAACTGAAAAGATAACAGCAAAGAGAACACAATATCAGCCTATTCGAAACAGACAGAGTATGTGTACATATTCATTGAGAATGACATACGGAAACACAGTACAATATTCAACTATTCAGTCAAGTGTTTAAAGCTAAATGAAACAAAGCTTACTATAATACATGATTTCTTAACAGTTAATAGTTCAGTAAAAGTTTCAAGGATACATAAGATGGGGGCTACTATAAATCCATTAATTATAAATGTCATAGTTCAAGATTTACATCATTATGAAATGATTAGAAAAATCTAATTGATTAAAGAGAATCATATTCAACTAATTTTACAATTCAATAGTATTGTTACAGGTAACTATTTCAATAGGATTCAGTATCACTTCAGGACTAACAAAGGTCATCAAGCCTCCTGTCCTTTCTAAACTGAAACTGAAACTTCATGACATAACATATGATTATATCATATAACTATTACAGAATTTATAAAATCTATTGCATACTTAAATGATAATAAAATCCCATTCAATATATTGAATCCAGTAATATCATTATAGTGTTTCCATACATCAATTTACAAACATTTTAATTTATTAACAAAAGTTGAATGAAGTTTTACATGATGGAAGTATATTATTTCTGTGTCAATAAATTTCAAAGAGGGGTTTTGTGGATATAATAATAATAATTTAGTAAATGAATTCATGAGTCAATTGAAGTTAGACCATCATGGAAAACCTGGAAGCACTGGATGACTGTTTTGTCTTAGTTTAAAGAGTCCCATACTAAAACAAAACGGCCATCTAGTACTTCCAACTTATTATCAAATTGTTTCAAATAGTTAACCGGTTAGTTACTAAATCTTATCTCTAATTTAAATGAAAAATATCTTGATTGAATAGATAATGTAAATAAAAGGTTTCTAGTTGTCTTTTTGTTGTTTTAGAGAGAAATGTAGCGTTATTGTAGTTGGAGATTAAAGTCCTAATTAATATTGGTGTAGAATTAACAATCTTCTTTGTTACTGGATTAAATTTTGTCGTGATCAAAGATTGATTTAACCTTAGTATCTGTTATATCCCGATGAGAATAATGAATGGTAACTGTTGGGATCTATTTATGAACTAATACTATACATACATTTTTATTGTATAATTATTAAATAACTAAACTATGTGTAATCATATTTCTCTTATTATAAGCTTTATTTTGACTAGTATTATACGATTTACTGTTCTTGA